AAAAAGCAAAAAAAGTTGCTAAACATGTAAAAAATTGTTTCTTATTTTGAATTTTTTTTTTCAATTTTATAAACTCATTTGTTTAAGTATAACTTATTTATTTTTTTATTATTACGATTATTAATATTATTATTACTATTATTATTTAAAAAAATTTTTTTTACTTTTATTATTACTATTTTTTTATATTTTATTATATGAAAAATAATTACTAAACGAAATATTGTTATTATAAATTATTATCAATATTTAAACAATATTTTTTAATATTTAAACCCATGTATAAATAAATATATTTATTTGAATATTTTAAACTAATTTTTAAATTAATTATTAATGTTAAACAATACTATGAATTTTAGAATTGAATTGAGAAAAAAAAATTTATTTTATTTTAATTTTTTTTTTTAATGAATGATTATATTTTAACTTGAGAGTCGCGAGTCGTTAAATCACAAGACCGGAAATTACACCTGGGAGGAAGTTCATTTTTCAATGGTCTCTATGTATGATACGCGAAAGGGTACAAAAGGGAAGCGCTTCTTAAATCATGTGACAGTGGAAATAAGTGAAAAACAAGTACAAAGAAGCTGCATCGATCGGTCACCATTTCCAGCATGCGCACTCACCGATTGGTCAAACAATAAGTTTTATCAGAAAAAAAAAATATATATATATATAACTTCCACAAATTTTAAGAAATTTTTTTTTTAATAAATATGTGCAATTTTTTCTAGACAGAAATTTAATATAAATAACAAACGAACACACGTTTTTTGAAAATCAAATTTATGAATTTAATTTGTCCCAATTTTAATTTGTCTCAATTTTTATTAGTACGAATTTTCATTTGTCCGAAATTACAAATTGTCCGAATAAATAATCGACAGAAAGATTTTGGCGCATTTTTCAAAAATTGTCCAATTAAAAATTATCAAGAAAATCGTGATTGGTCAATTTTCAAAAATTGCGCCGTAATCTTTCTATCGATTCTTTATTCAGCTAATTTGTGATTTCAGACAAATGAAAATTTAGCGTCTTAAAAATTCGTACAAATAAAAAATTCGGACAAATTAAAATTCGATGAATTGGGAAAAAAATTTAATAATATAATTTTTAATGAATTTACAAATTTCCTTTATACAATTATTATTTTAGATTGTATATATTGATCAAAATTTTTTTTATTGAAAACTTATATTCCAAATATGGAAAAATTATAATATAAAGGTCAAGTTGAATTCTATTTCTGATTTCATGTAAATCAGCAAAATATAAAATAAAATAAAAAAAAGAATAAAAATGCCAAAAAAAAAAACAATTCTCTTCTCTATTTCGAGTCTTTACCTTAACTAGAACTCGGTTCAATTATTTTCAGTGACATTTTACGATTTCTCTTTTAGAATGTCCTACATCAAACTTTTAAATTTATAATTAGCGAAAAAGGTCCATCGTCTGGTCCACAAATAAGAGAACGAGGTTTGCAATTCGAATATAGATTCTTTTCCGCCTTAACAATATAAATATAAATATATATATACAAGAAAATTTGATTTAAAAGTATATATATAATTATAAATAATATTTTATATAAGTGTAAAATGTAACATACATTTTTACTTTAAAAAATTTGTATATAAAAATTTAGAAATTAATATTTCTTTTTAAATAATTTATTTTTATTTATTTATTTATTATTATTTATTTTTTTTTTCAATTATTTTTTTTAAAGATAATGTCCCGTAAATATTACTTCCTCATAATACAAATAACGAATAATGAAACTCTTTTTTTATATTTACATTTTTGGGGGGACAAAAATATACCATATTTAAATAGTTTATATTATATAATTATGAAAATTGTCTATTCACCTTGATTACTAAGTATCCTTTTTAACAAAAAAAAAGTCATTGGGTCACATATCATTTAGAAGGATATTAAGATTTTGCGGTCGTGAACATTATCATAAATTAACACATAAAATTGATGAATATAATTGAAGTTTCATCTCCAAAAATATGTCATATTTAACTATAAAATTTTTAAATATTAATTATTCATAAATATATATCCGCGGATATTGCATTTTTTTTTTAAATCAAAAATTCATTTTACGATTTAATTGAAGGAAGAGAAAAAAATTACAATAATTTAAAAAAATGAAAATTATGAATTTATTCATAAATATGAATTATTAATTACGATAATATATATATATGCATTATAAATACAATAATATAATTACCCAATAATATAATAATATAATCATGAAATTACGTTATTAATTTAATAATTTTATATACTTTTTTCACGTGCAGCTAATTTATAATTTAAAAAAATAGATATTATTTTTCTTCTTTAATAAGTATAGGATTTAATTAAAATTCAAGAGTTCCAAATCATTAGTGTAGAGTAGGTCAATATACCAAAGGAGAATTTATATTTAAAGATTTTTAATTTTTATCCAATTTAAATATGCAAAAACCTATTATTCATATATAGTAAAAGTAAAACGTTATTTTAAAAATTATTATTAATTATTCATTATATGTAATCTATTTATTTATTTAATCACTATATTATATTATATCATTATTATTATTTATTTTAACATAAACGGGCTTTAAATAAACCCTTTCGTATAAAAGTAGACGGAAAAAATCTTTATCTGGAACAGCTACATGTTTCTTTAAAATAGCGAAAATTTTCGCTGTTTCAGTTAAAAATTTTTTTCGTGTAGGTATCTACTTAATACTAATGGCAAGAAAATTATTAGCATTGTTATTATTATTATTTTTTTTTATTATAATCATTATTATTATTATTATTATTTTTATTGTTGTTTAGTTTTTTTTATTGTTAAAGTGTATTTAATATTTCGAAAATTTAAATATTCAGTGCATTGAAAGTGGTTTGTTGCTTCTAACCCTTCTCCGTATTTGGTTCTCAAAGTTAATGAATATTAAATGTGTAGATGCTTGAGGGTCGCGCAGCTTTAGAACCAATTAATCAGCTACTATTATATATACAACAAGAGTGAAATGAGTAATTAATTCGTTTCTTAAAATTAAAACCAACTGATTATAAATATGCTTTTTAATAATTATTATATATTCTTTAAAAAAAAAATCTATTTTGAATTTTTTTTTCAATAATTTACTCTCTAAATATATAAAAATTTATACCAATTTAAAATTGAAACTGAATTTTTCGCAATTAAATTAGTAAAAAAAAATTTAGTAATTTAAATTTGAAACTGAATTTTTTACAATATTGAATTAGTAAAATTTAATGAATTCAAAAGCAAAAATTCAGTTACTAATTTAAAAATTAGTTTTAAAACATTGTTACTATATATAATGGCATTTTTTTAAAAAACTTAAAATTAAATATATTAATAAATTGTTTTTTTTATATATTTTATATTAAAACTCGCGTCTTTTACTGATAATTGAGTATAAGAGAACGCAGTACATGCGTGTAAAACGGGTTGCCTATTATTATCGCGCACCACCCAAGTATGTATGTAGAAAATATTTTTCCGAATTTTGTAATTCTACATATTTTAAAATTTAACATTGATATAATTTTAAGAATTTAAGAAAATGTAAGCCCGTACATGTTGATTAAATAAATAAATTAATAATAATATATAAAAATATTAAAAATGATAATGAAAATAATAATAATAATAATAATAATAAAAGAATTGTATTTAAAAAAAATATTCTTTTTTACTTATTTTTTACGTTTTTTTTAGTTTTAAAACAGAAGTTTAATTTGAATGTCGAATTTCATTAAAAGCGGGGATTCCCTAAAAGCCACTATGCGCACAAGCGTTTGCGCATTGTACTAAGCTTTGAGCGTTTAACAGTAGCGTTTAAAAAAATTTCTTCTACTGAAACAAAAACTACTTTTTGTATTTGTCTTTTCAGATTTTCGAATAACTTTTTTTTCCCCTAAAAATTCTTTCAAACTAAATAGCCCTCGGAGATCCCTACTTTCAAGTTAAATTTCCATTTCCAGAAAATGTGAAAAATAACCGTAAAAATAGACCGAGTTCTAAAAAGTCTGTGAATTTTGTATCCTTCAAAGATAAGATACCATTTTTTACTTTTGCCCTTATCTTTGAAGTACGTGACACCATAAGCCATCGAGGATAGAATCTGCAAAAAGAAAAATTAAAAAATACTGTCAGCGCTGTACTAACATGTAGTTAAATCTTTAACCAGTCGGTAATATAGAAAGCTGTAAAAAATTTCATTTCCAAAAGTGCGGCATCGAGACTAAACCTAATGTAATCGAATAACACAAAAATTAGATTAAAAATTTTCTTCTAAAGCAAAAAACTACTATGTAAAAGATATATGTGACTATTAAATATTTTATTTAACAGAATACGGATACAAAACCGGATTTAAGAAACACAAAAACGGTTTTTCTTTCACGTTCAATTACTATACTTATAGTAAACATATTTTTTAAAGAGAAGGGATAATCGACCATCAAAACTTCACACTAACGATAAAGTACCCTTAAGAAAAAAAAAAAAAAAAAAAACCACAAAGCACGAATGAAGAAAAATTTGAAAAATTCTTTTAAAGGCATATAAAATGTATAATATGTCGATACGAAGGACAGGATTGTAAAATATATAGAGAGGAGTTTCGCTTCATAATCAATGTTCGTAATCCGGTTTTTTGTGCTAGTTGTGACTCTTGGCGGTAGCCTTGCTTTTGTCGTATAGCAATGTAACAACCTGTTGATAGAATCAGCTCTTCTCTTCTTGCTTCTTTGCCAGAAATCTCTCTTTCTCTATGTACAATATATATGTATATACATTCCCTTCACTACTACGATCCCTTTACACACCGCATTTACCCTTCGCCCATAAGTAATTTTTGAAACTGGAGGTTATATCGGCGTGGGCTTCTCAAAGGCTATCTGGGGAGGAGGATGAATGTCTGGTCTGGATTTTGCCACTTGGCTTTATTCGACGACTGATCCGATGGGCCCAGACTGCGAGGTTCCTAACGACCGTTCACCTTATTCTTGACGTCACACACACACACATACACCAACATCGTGACTTCATTATCATTATGTTTCTCTCTTGGCTCTCGTTTTACGAAAAATCTTCAAGAAAAATTGTTGTCACGAAATCTTTCTCTCTTTTCGTGATAAAAAAAAATTGCTGAGTAAAAAGAAATACACTTAGAATTATTCTATTTTGCTTATGAAAGAGCGGGGCAAAAGCCGCTAATTTAACGTATATTTCTAAATATTTTTGTTATTACATCATCAGTAGTAAAGTGGTGGAGGTTTATTTTTGCTGGTGAGTCACAGCCAATCAGAACCATATCGACATTGTATAGTAAGTATATAATTATATAATATTTATTAAATAATTAATTCGTGAATTTCGAAAATGACTCAATTTGAAAAAGCGTAAGTGTCATTTTTGCATAACCAATCGATAGTGAAAATGACTCTTATGGTTTTCAATGTTGAGTTCCCTTTTCGAAATTGACTATTCGATTAGAATTAAAGAAAGAATTAGATAATTAATTAAAGAATAAATAAACGAGAAATTATTATTATTAATTGGAAAATTATAGGCAGATTTTATCTTGGACAAAATTTGACCACAATATTCATCGAACGATACTACATACTTATGACCCAGAATGAAGTGATATAATTTCCGATTAGTTCAGTGAGTGGAAAAATTATCACTATAGAACTGGTGGTGCAACGGAGCACTATAAGCAGGTTAATAATTTTCAATTTTGTATAAATTTTTTTAGTTTTTCTATTTCTTGATTATATAAAATGATTTTGCCACTGAGTTAGAAATGTTTTCCGAACATAACCTACAAAATTAAATCGAAAATCTAGATCAAGAGAACCTTAAAACTAAATCCTAGATCCGGGACAAGAAACTAACATAAACTTCAAAGTCAAATGACAAAATTAATATAACCTCAAAATTCAAGGCAAATGACAAAATACATACGGAAAAAAAGATTTACCTGAAACAACAAAAGGTTTCACTAGAATAGAATAAAATATTTAACTGAAACAATAAGTTATACTTTTGCTACTGTAGTGAAATGTTTCACTGTTCCAGGTAAATCTTTTTTTCCGTGTAATAAATCAAAAAACAAACATAACCCTAAAAATTTTGGTCAGATAGAGAAGAAAACATAACCTTAAAATTTATTTAATTTTTAGCTCATTTGGAGTACAACGTATCTCATTGGTTGTGGATACGCTCTTTATACTACGACTCACAAAGAGAAGGATACATTAAAAACTAGGTCTGAAATTACGACCCAAGGTTAATTAAAAAAAAAATAAAATTTAATTAAAACAATCGTCTAATCTCAAAAATCTCTAATGTATAATTATAAAATTTAAACCACGAAAAGTTTTTTTTCCAAACACTATTAAAACACTAAAATTTTACACAATATACATAATTAATTTTTTTTCTACTAATAATTTTGATAATAATAATAGTAATAATAATAATAATAATAATAATAATAATAATAATAATAATAATAATAATAATAATAATATGTAATAATAAAACAAAAAAAAATAAATAATTTTAACAATTATAATTTCTCTTTCAGTGGCAATATCCCAGGATATGAACCTTACTAATCTAGTTCTGATGCATGTTATGGAGACGTTTCAAGTTATTGGTCAGGTCTTTATTGTAGTAAGTATAAACATTTTTTTATCTCCTAATCGCTGAGTAGATAATTTCAAAAAAAAAATTTCTTCTACTGAAGCAAAAACTACTTTTTGTATTTGTCTTTTCAGATTTTCGAATAATTTTTTTTTCCCTAAAAATACTTGTCTATATAACTTGTTCCCTCTTTAATAATTATAATATTTATATATAATTGTAGCCGAAGGATCTTACAAATATTATGGAAAACATTGTAATGAAAACAAGTAGCTTGGATAGGTTCAACATCAAAGCAAACTTCGTTAAGACGAGAATAAAAATCTTTATAACTATTTGAATGTTGTCGCACAAAGAAATGATTTAAAAAAGAAACAACACTAATAACAGAAAACAACAAAATTTGAAACAAAACAAGTCAACAAAATCTTATTAAATTAAAAACGCTTCTTTTCTTTAGATTATTATTATTATTATTAATTATATTATATTTATTATTTAAAAGAAATCAATTGTAGGAAATAATATGATTAGTTAAGTGGAAAACATTGTAAATTGTAAACTAATATATTTCAAAAACTAAACAAGGAATCTTTCTGCAATTTTACAAAAAACTTCCTTATATACCAATAAACAAATGTCTCACTGGAAGTTCTTTTAATTTTAAACTTCCCCGCAGACTTTCTTTCGGCAAAGACAAGAAAACATCGTAGCAGACATTTCTATATTTATAATAAAAAATAATTAAAAAATTGATGATTTTTAACTTTATTTGTTATATCTTCGCCTTCTATGGACCCAAATGCGTGTGTATACAAAATTCCAAAACGATTCCTTAATTATTATTGTCGAAGATACGACAATTTATGTTTTAAAATTCAATGAAATTTGTAAAAATAAAATAACTAGTTTTTTAACTTTACTAAATAAAATATTCGTTCTACAAAAAAATGTTAAAGGAAAAAAAGATACGCCTTCTTATTTACTATAAGGTAGTACTTTTCAAAAATTAAAATTTCGAATTTTAATTTTATGAACATTTTCATATCTTTGACTGGCAAGAAAGTAACTCGCCGAGCGTTCGTCCCCTTATTGTATGGGAGCCCTCATTTTAGTAGTCAACAAATACAGTGGAACCTCAATTATCCGAACCGTAAAAAACATTTTATTCGAACTATTTTTGCCTTTTCGAATTTAAAATTTTTGTTTTTATATCGCGTTTTCATATTTAAAATTTCATTATTTAAATTTCCCTAAAAAAAAAACGAATAAATTCAATTTTCCAAATCTAGAAAAAAAAATTTATCATTAGTTCAAATTTTAAGTGATTTCAATTTTTAAATTTCTGTGCAAAAAATGCTTAATTTTACATTCTGAATATATCAAATAAAGAAATTCCTTTATGAATACATATACGAATATCAAAACAAAAGATTGTTCGTACCAAAGTCATCTTGTGTCTTTTGTAATAAGATATGACCTTTTATGTATTACAAAAAGGGACTTTTGAATCCGAATCAAAGGATCATTTACTCTCCTAAATGACTTCTCGTTACAAACCCCCCCTTCTCCTCGCAATACATATATGTATGTATAACTTTAGTGTAATTCAACCTTGACGATCGGTCTGACATAGGGAATATATAAAATCGTGTGGTTGTTCCCGTAACCAACTATTAGTCCTCCAGATTCACGAGATTGACCGGTTCGCGCGCGAATTTCGATTTTCGAAAATTTGTTGGTGTTACCGGTCTATAATTTTGAAATTAGAGGGAATTTTTTTTTTTGTTTTTTAAATAAATTAATATATATTTTTTTTCCTTTTTTTTTGTAAAAATGTCAATATTTAGTGTTTTTTTATTATTTATCAGTTTCCACGTGTTATTAGCGCAGGATGTGTTTGCTTGTCTCGGAAAAACAATGCTCAGTAAGATTATTGTTAATTATTTTTTAAACATTTACTGATAGTTTTTTACTAATTTTATCATTACTCTCTAAATCTGAATTAGTAAAAATGTTTACTAATTTGAATTAGTGACCCACTTTTTGCTTCTGAATTAGTTAAATTTTTAGTGAGTCACTAATTCAAATTAGTAAACATTTTTACTAATTCAGATTTAGAGAGTAAATTTATTATAATTTTTATTATTATTATTATTAATAATTTTTTTATTTTATTATTATTATTATTATTAATTTTTTTATTATTATTTTTAATTATTAGTGTTGAATTTATTTTAATATTTTATTACTATTTTTTTTAATTCGAATTTTTACTGAATTATATAATTTATAAAGAAATTTTTGCAAAAATTATTCTTTCTGTATGAACTTAAAAATTTTTGCATAATCACGGAAAAAAAATCTTTATCTGTAATAGCGATATATTTCTCTAGAATAGCGAAAACATTCGTTGTTTAAGTGAAACATATAGCTGTTCCAGTGAAACTTATCGCTATTTCAAGTAGATTTTTTTTTCTGTGTATTACTGATGAAGAAATAATTTTCTTTTTTTTGCAGCAATGCATTAATGTTTATTTTTTTATTTTTCTCTGAATTATTATTATTTATCTAATGGCTTTTAAAATATAAGTATAAAATTTATAAATGACGCATTTTAATAAAAAAAAAAAATCTGTATCCTCAAACAATACAATTAAAATTTCAAATTTTTCTATAGACTCTTATCATTATTTGCTAATTGAGGGTTCACGTGCAATAAGGGGATACGCGTGGATTCAGCCAGAAATGTATTGTCCAATTAGTCGATTTTTAAAAATGTTTCAAATGAAAATTTTAATCATCAATCCTTACGTAGGATGAAAAGGCGCATCTTTTTTTCCTCTATGAAAAATTTCTAAAATTTATAGTTTTCTTAATAAATAAGAAAAACCAATTTTTTAAAAAGTATAAAATTTTATTCTTTTTTTACTTCAACTCGTGATAATTTGCTCAATTTAATGAATTTTCAAAAAATTCAAAATGGACGTTGTAGATTGCATTGTTCTGAAAATAAAACAACCAAAAAAAATGCAAATATCTTTATAAACAAAAAAGTTATTAATTTTTTCCCAAAACAATGCAAAAACTGTGTACTGCGAAATTTGAGCGCTTCGTTTATCTGGCGAATTTTGGGCAGCAACAAACTTCCAGTGAGAAAGTTTTTCATTTAGTTACAAAGAAGTTTTCTGGAAAGTTATATAGCAATCGGATGAATAGAAAAAAAGTTATCAACGTTTAAAAATCACCGCGCGGATCAAAATTCTAACGCGTGAATTTGGAGTCTTGCGTGTGGAATGCAGCGATCGATAACATACATTGACGCTCAAGAGTTTTTCTCACCAATTATGTCAAATATTTTATTCAAACAGATTTTTTTGATTACAATGATTTTTTATCTATTAGGAAATAGATTTTAATTTTCGTTTTCTACCATTATAAGACACAACATCACTATTCATATTTTATAAATAAGAATTATTTATTAATTAATAATATGTCACGAAAAAAATCAGGTTTAAATTTTCCTTTAAAAAAATAATTTTTCTTCCAAATACAAAAACACAGTAGCTAATTTGAGCTACTAAAACACTTTTTGTCTATGATGTATATATTTGTGTTTGTAAACATTAGCTATAGATCGATCGCTGCATTCCACACGCAAGAGTCCAAATTCACGCGTTAGAATTTTGATCCGCGCGGTGATTTTTAAACGTTGATAACTTTTTTTCTATTCATCCGATTGCTATATAACTTTCCAGAAAACTTCTTTGTAACTAAATGAAAAACTTTCTCACTGGAAGTTTGTTGCTGCCCAAAATTCGCCAGATAAACGAAGCGCTCAAAGTTCGCAGTACACAGTTTTTGCATTGTTTTGGGAAAAAATTAATAACTTTTTTGTTTATAAAGATATTTGCATTTTTTCTGGTTGTTTTATTTTCAGAACAATGCAATCTACAACGTCCATTTTGAATTTTTTAAAAATTCATTAAATTGAGCAAATTATCACGAGTTGAAGTAAAAAAAGAATGAAATTTTATACTTTTTAAAAAATTGGTTTTTCTTATTTATTAAGAAAACTATAAATTTTAGAAATTTTTCATAGAGGAAAAAAAGATGCACCTTTTTATCCTACATAAGGATTAATGATTAAAATTTTCATTTGAAACATTTTTAAAAATCGACTAATTGGACAATACATTTCTGGCTGAATCCACGCGTATCCCCTTATTGCACGTGAACCCTCAATTATTTAAAAATATTTCGATAATAAAAACTTTTTTTTTTTTGTAAAATACTAATTGAATTAAAAAATCAAATAAAAAAATTTTTTATTAAAAGAAAAATTTAAGTCAAAACTATAATTATGAAACACATGTGTTTAAACATGCACACACAAAAAAAATAAAATAAAAACACATGTTTTTCACATGTGTGTAAAACGATTTCACTTTTTATATTATTTTTTTAATATAAAATCTTTTATGAATTTTTAATTTTATTAATATTTTTACAAATAAAAATTTTTATTATCCAAACATTTTGAAATACTGTATTGAAACCAATTATATGTTTACATAATTTGTTTATTAAAAATTAATTTTTATTCCCCACAATTATAAATAAATAATTCTTTATCGATTAATTCATTCATTCAACAAATTTGAATTATTTTATTTTTATTATTATTATTTCTATTATTATTATTATTTCTATTATTATTAATAATATTTTTTCAAAATCAGTTAATTAAAAAAAAATTGAATTATTTTTCAAAAATTTATGACAATAAAAAAAAATTGTTGTTGTTGAGCATAATTTCATTTCATTTCATTTCATTTATTAACGGGACATGCCCTTTCGTACAAAAGTACTCCGAAATTCTAATAGTTACGTAAGTAACAATACAAAATATAAAATATTAACTAATAATAATTAATAATTAAATAATAATAAAATTGCAAGTTCTCCATCATATGTATATATGTGTATATATTTGACAATAATGCATATAGGGTAAGAAAGAGAAAAAAGAACATTTCACGGACACTCATTAATCAGCCGATAGCCTCACCTATTCAAACCTTTCATGGAAGTCTATTGAAAAAAAAAGAAAAAAAAATTCACCCAATGAATGAGTTGTATGACTGAAAACGTCAATTTTCTTTTTACGCCGGAAATGAAGAGGGCTTGGTCCTGTATATATATATATATATATACTCGATGTAATCTGATTTTGGTTTTAAACATTATACAGTTTATCTCGTTCCCATTAATTTTCGTGGGAAACTCTAATCTCCCAACCTTTATTATTTCTCTATTGGATTAGGGGTATTATATTAAGAAATATATATTCAATTTTGCATATATAGCAAAGGGGGATTTCCCTCAAAAAAAAATTTAAAGACAAAAAAATGAAGAAATAAATAAAATAACCGCGGGCATCGTATGAATTCAAAATATTAACTATATATGTGAAAAAATGAGTCACTATAATTTGCAATTATTTTAAAAAATTACTTCACCTGGAACAGCGATAAGTTACACTGGAACAGCTATAAGTTTCACTGGAACAGCTATACTCTCTAAATCTGAATTAGTACTCTCTAAATCTGAATTAGTAGCGTTTTCTACTAATGAAAGAGTGCAGATTCGTTTACCAATTGAATTAGTATCACAGAAAATTATAAGGTATTAAAATAAGCTGCAACGCCTATTATTTTAATCTAATTTTGCTTATTTTAATACTAAAATGGATTAAAATAAGCAAAATTAGATTAGAATAAGCAAAATTGGATTAAAATAATAAGGGTTGCAGCTTATTTTAATGCCTTTTAATTTTCTGTGTAACAGTTTTGACTCTTTTTTTTAGTAGAAAACTACTAATTGCTAGTAGAAAACTACTAATTCATGGAGTAAATCGGCTTACTAATTTAAAGTAGTAGAAAATACGATTTACTCCATGAATTTGTAGTTTTCTTCTAGCAATTAGTTGTTTTCTACTAAAAAAAAGAGTCAAAACTGTTACACAGAAAATTAAAAGGCATTAAAATAAGCTGCAACGCTTATTATTTTAATCCAATTTTGCTTATTTTAATCCATTTTGGTATTAAAATAAGCAAAATTGGATTAAAATAATAAACGTTACAGCTTATTTTAATACTTTATAATTTTCTGTGATACTAATTCAAATTGATAAACGAATCCGCACTCTTTCATTAGTAAAAAACTACTAATTCAGATTTAGAGAGTATATGTTTCACTAAAACAAAGAAAGTTTTCCCTATTTTAGACAAACATATAGCTGTTCCAGATAAAGATTTTTTTCTATCAAAAAAATATTTCATCGATTAATGTTGTAATTAATCAGCAAATGCATAATAAATTTTAAGTATAATTCATTTTGAAAATTTGTCTATATTAATAAATCAATATATATAAAAAACAGATATATGCATAATGTAATGAAGATTTAAATTAATTTTAACGTAATTATAATAATAACAATAGTAGTAATTAATTGTGTTTGTAATAATGAAATTTCAATCAATTTCAATATATATATAAATAATGTTCAATACAAAATCACTGAGGATATATAGTTTAGAGTAGTGAATTGGGGCGGAAAATCAGACAAGTTTCACAGTCAACTCAATATGTATATATGTATATATATATATACATCTGGTCAAGAGGAGAAAATGGTATTTGCTCTGGCCGGGCAAATTTAGAGGAAACCCTAAACTATTCCGGATCTTAAGCAACGAAATTATTCAATGGTTGCTGCGCTCCCTTTACCTTAATCCGATTCCCTCCCCCCTCTAATGTTCTATATATATTCAAATCTTAGTAAATATCCAATGTGGATGTGTTTACGGTTCATTTGTATATTATAATTAACTGTTCCGATAATGATGATAATGATGATGATGATAATAAATAATAATAATAATAATAATAATAATAATTGCATTGCTAGTATTATAATTTATATAAGAAAAATTAATAATAACTATAATATCCATTTGAAATATAAGAACTATTATATACTACAATATTTATTATAAAGTATAATATTTATTATAAACTATAATAACTATTATATACTATAATAACTATTAGTATTATTATTCTAAATATTATAATTTTTTTTATATCATGTTAATGTGACTCTAAATTAAATTTAAATAATTTCTAAATGCACGAAATTAATTCTTTGTTATTTAAATTTCCCGCCATATGTTAGTAGAGCTTTTCTTTCAAAATTTCTCTTTTTTTCCTCGATTGGCTCTCCTGCTTCTTGGTATAATGCCACCAGGATAGCCAACCATTTGTCAATTATTATCATCAGTTGCTTTTTGAAAACATTCGAATTTTGAAATGACAAAAATTCCAATTCACCGAATATCAAAATTTGTCCGAATTTTTAATTTGTACAAATTTTTAAGACACCGAATTTTTTAATTGTCCGAAATTACAAATTGACCAATCACAATTTTTTTTTGATAATTTCTAATTGGTCAATTTTTAAAAATTGCGCCAAAATCTTTCTGTCGATTATTTGTTCGGTCAATTTGTAATTTCGGACAAAATGAAAATTCGGCGTCTTAAAAATTCTATCAATTAAAAATTTGTACAAATAAATATTCTATCAATTAAAAATTTGTACAAATAAATATTCGGACAAATTAAAATTGGGACAAATTTGAAATTCGGTGAATTAAAATGTTTGTCATTTAAAAATTCGAATGTTTTTTAAAAAGCAAGATGGTAATAATTGACAAATGATTGGCAATCCTGATGGCATTAGGCCAGAAGCAGGGGAGCCAATCGTGAAGAAAAAAGAAATTTTGAAAGAATAGGGACATATGCCGGGAAATTTAAAAAACAAAAAAAATTTATTACTATCATTATTATTTAATATTTGCTTTTTGTGAAAACCGTTTAAATAATTTTATTTAAGAAAAAAATTATTATTATTATTATTATTGCTATTGAATGATGATGATATTCAATGGCAATAATAATAATAATAAAAATAATGATCATATAAAAAAGAAGAAGGAAGAAGTAGTAATGTTAAAAAAAAAAAAAAAAACTTTTTTCTTCAATTCGTTTAAACTATACAGGAGCTGGAGGATTAACGTGCCAAGACAAGCAAACCATTCTAGACGAACATAATCGACTTCGTCAGATGGTGGCATTGGGACAAATTCATGGTCAACCCGGAGCAGTTAATATGATGGAGATGGTAAATAAAAATCTTTCGATTTGATTTCTTTTTGACATTCTGACTCATCAATCTGCTTGTCTCGGAAATAATTACATAGCCTCTCAATCGGAATCTCCTTGAAGGCGATTTTTGCTTTAAAAGCCAACCTCATCCCAATAAATATATATATATTGGAATAAATATAAAACAGTAAATAATAAGTACTGTAACAAATTATATATACATAAATTTTTAAATTTCTGTCTTTATTTCACGAATGCCAATTTGTAAAATATTATAATATATATTATCGAATTTTATTTTTAAAAAAACTATAACTCACAAAAATCTATCTTGGGTTATCGTTTTTAAAAATTATTTTCTTTTTGAAAATAAATAGTTTTTCTTTAATTAAAAGTTGTGTATATATAATCGCGGAATGTAATTTAGTAAAAAAAATTCATTTTCCAGATTTGGGACGATGAATTGGCAATAGTTGCACAAAAATGGGCTGACAATTGTCCGGACACTCATGACACGTCTCGAGATGTTCGTAAGTATAAAATTATGTAATTATAATGTCAATATTTGTTATAATAGCAATATTTCGAATTAGAACGAATAATTAAAGAGAAATTATTATTGGTTAATTGAAAAAAAAAAAATAAAGGGAGATTTGCTGTTGGACAAAATATTGCCAGAACTTGGACAACAAGGCCCCCTGGACCCTACGATTCGGAGCCAAATTGGAGGCGACGAATTTTCGGTTGGTTCAATGAGGTGCAAAATTATAACACTGGTTTCAGTCGCTCAACGGGCCACTATACACAGGTTAATAATTTTGATTTGCATTTTTTAATTTTCCTGTATCTCTAAATTTCCTCTCTATTATAAAATGATTTTGCTCCCGAGTTAGAAATTTTTTCGAACATAACCTCAAAATTAGATCGAAAATCTAGGTCAGGAGACGAAAAAAAACATTAAAAGTTCAAAGAAATAGGTCAATAGACCACTGAATTTAAAGTTAAAACACAAATAACCTTAAAATTAAGTCAAAGATCCCGGGCAAGAAGCTAACATAACCTTAAAATTTAAAGTCAACTCAAAGGACAAAATAAATGAAAAAACGAAGCTGAAAATTTAGAATAGAGAGGAAAACATAACCTTAAAATCTATAAAAGATTAAAGGTCAAATAGTCAAACCTAACCTTAATATTGCCGAAAATAATTTTAAAAATAGGTTAAAGTAATAAACCAACTTTTTACGACCCGAAACTTCTACTTTTCTATATAAGTAAATTTTAAATATCTCCATATAGTAATTATTATACATACACACACTACTTAGTGTTAAACTTCGAATACTAATTAACAACTCAATTTGTCCCTTAAATTAGTGACTGAATTTCAGTTACAATTCTAATTTCCATGTTGTAATTAACAACTCAATTACCCATTAAATCAGAGTTACAATTGGCTCGACAAATATTCAAGAGAGAGAGAGAGAGAGAGAGAGAGAGAGAAAATCTCAGTATTAACAATTATATATACATATACATAAGCGCAACACGCGGACTCGATTATAAAATTAATTAAGCGCTCCTAAGAATTAATTACTTAATTTTCAGCTCGTTTGGAGTGAAACTTTCCTCGTTGGTTGTGGATACTCTTTTTACTACGACCCAGCTAGAGGATACACCAAAAACTACGTCTGCAATTACGGTCCAAGGTTAATTAAAAAAAAATTTAATTAAAACAATCGTCTAATCTCAAAAAATCTCCTCTAATGTATAATTATAAAATTTAACCAAAATTATTTTTTTTTAATTATTAAAACACTAATTCTGCACATTAAATATTTATAATTAATTCAATTTTACTAATAATAATAAAAAAAAAATAAATAATTTTAATTTCTCTTTCAGTGGCAATGTCGTAGGATTTAAACCTTATCAATCTGGTGAACCGGCATGTAATTCTTTTGGAATGTCATTTTCAAATCGTTATTCCGGTCTTTGTTGTAAGTACAAAAAAAAAAATTTTTTTTAACTTTTTTTTTCAATTGATCGATTACTTTTATACAATGTAGAGAAGAATATTTATTATATATATATATACATAAGCATTTAATATCCCATCGATTGACCCTGAAATTTTATCGGTTCATAGTGTTAATGAGCTGTAGACTTCCGAATATTAAGTATCAATTTGACGTTCACTTTGTGTGTTGCCTTTAAATCTTGACCGATTGCTTCCTGAAACTGTGTCGCAATAAAAAGAGGGACCGGTTTTTATCTGTCTCTCACTCTCTAAATTAAAAATAGTATCGTTAATTTTTTAATCATCGAATTTTAATTTGCAAAAGTGAAATTTTTCATATTAACTTTTAAATGGTTTAAAATATTTTGTATATGATTTTATGGAATCGCGACGGTTTAGTAAATAGGCTAAGTGCATCAATTACGGCGCATTTATAATAAATAACTATTATTACTATTATATTTCATATAATTGTTACAAAAAGGTTTTTAAAAAATTATTTTAATCTTTTTTTGATACAATTACTGATGCAAGATGCACATTTAAACAATTATTAATTTAATTATTTGAGATTATATTTTTTCCCTCGCCGTAATTGAAACATTTTTAAGATTTCCATTGGATCCAATTACGGTGGGCAAAGTATTTTTATAATACACATAATTTTGGTCACCGTAATTGATACACAGAAACTGATACAAATGCGCCGTAATAGAAAATTACGGTATTAGTTTTAATTTTTCATATTTGTTTAAATAATTGATTTTTATAAAGTTATTTTTTTAATATCTAAATAACATAACCAGTTTAATACGTCTTAAATTGACTTTATACAATATAAATGGCGAATTTTCTATTTCAAAGGTGTTTTAACTCGAATCGCGCCGTAATTAGTGTATTTACCCTATTATAATACTAAAACTTGAATCATTTAATCAAATTATTATTCATTTACTTTTTATTTTTTTTTAATTTCAAGCGGTTCAACCCCTTAATATAACTTTAAAAAATTGGATTTATCACTGTAAATAAAATTATATTTAAAATTTTAATTCATTTTAACTAGTGATAAAACCATTTTGAGGTTATGTTAATTGATTGAACTCGATTGAACCGCCTTCAATAATTATATTATTCATTTGACATCAGATAGGAACAGCTTTTTTTTTCTTCTACTGAAGCAAAAACTGCTTTTTGTATTGGTCTTTTCAGATCTTCAAAGAAAACCTTTTTTTCACAAAAATCCTTGTCTATAACCTGTTTCCCCTTTAATAATAAAAATATTTAAATATAATTGTAGCCCACGGATCTTACTATCATCTAGGAGCCTACTGTGCTTACGGTTAAAAAAAAAATGAGAATCCTGTCTCATGAAATCGACCAGAAAAGTCGCTTGGAAAGGTTCAACATCAAAGCAAACTTCGTTAAGACAAGATGAGAAAGAAAATCTTACTTTGTAACTCTTTGGATGTAGTCGCACAAAGAAATGATAAAAAAAAAAAAAGAAACAACACTAATAACAGAAAAAAAATTTTGTTAAAAAGAACAAAAAAATCTTATTAAATTAATTTTAGATAAAAATATTTATTTCAATTAATTAAATTATCGAGCAAATAATATTTTTGTAAATTTAAATATATTTTAAGATTCAATATTTATTATTCAATGAAAAAAAAAAAATGTTACACGACGAAAAAAGAAAAACTATTTTCGTAGAATAATTGCAAAATGACGCAAGATTCGACCCATTTTTATCTTTCTTCTTTGTAGAGACTATTATCAAAAATTAATTAGCAATATTTTCTTTTCCACAAACGCTTCTAGTCTTTAGATTTATAATTCTCGTTAAATTAATTAATTAATTTTTATTATTATTATTGTTTTCGTTAGACAAGAAAAAATTAATTATACAAAATATTATTACTTAAGTAAAATATTGTAAATTGAAAAAATAATTACTGTTACTTTAATTATAATATTCATTATGATTATAATTTTAATTAATTATGATTCAATAATAATAATAATATATAATTAAATAATTATGTATTATTATTTTTAAAAAAAATTTATTATTTTAGTAATAAACAAATATAGAAAAAAAATCAAAGCAATTGTTTGTTAATTTATTATAAGTAAATACCAAAAATATATAATAATAATAATTTTAAACAGAAATATTTTTTTAATTTAATTTTTAATTGATATTTTTAACTTTGATTTTAAATTTAAAAATTTTAAACTAATCAGACGTTACGGTATTATAAATAAATAATGAATAAAAATAAGTATTTAAATCCGAATTATTTTTGATAATTATAAATAATTAATGAATTTGTACGAAAATTGAAAACGAGGTTAAAATTAATAATTAACGAATTAATAAATTATTACAATGAAAATTATTTTTTATAATTTTTACTTTAGCTCTAAAATAATTAATTTTTAATTTAAAACTAAAAAAAATTTTCATTTTTAGTGATTATTATTGTTTAATGACTTTTTATATTTAATATAATACGTTTAAATTAATTAATTTTTATTAAAAATTAATAAAATATATTTTATTTAAATAAAAAAAATATATATTTTTAATAATAAAATTAATAATTAATTAAATTATATAAATAATAAATATATGTATATTTAATAAATTATTTTATTTATTTATATAATTAAAAAATATATATTAAAAAATAAACCTAAATAAAAATATAAATAATAATTAAAATAATCGTTATTAATTTTCAAAGAAAAGAAAATTTCAAATTTCCCACATTTTTTTACTAACGCCATCTGCCACCAACCTTAAACAACTGCTAGTCAAGCGATCACTTCCGATTCCTTGTCGACTTCTCTTAACCCTCAAAATTCGATCAATTTTTTTTTTATCACCATATCTTTATGAATCTAACTTTCTCACTAGGTTTTACTTTAAAATTCCATCACTTTAAAGTACTTTTTTTAACTTTTTACTCTTTTCACACTTATTAAATTACTTTATGTCAATAAATTTTTATTTTCACCAACAAAATTGACGCACGTCTTTCTCTACAACAATCTCAAACCGGAAGTGACCGTTTATAACTAACGCCATCTGCCACTAACCTTAAACAACTGCTCTAGTCAAGCGATCACTTCGATTTCTTGTCGACTTTTCTAACCTCAAAATTTGATCGATTTTTTATCATCACATTTTTATGAATTCAATTTTTACACTAGGTTTTATTTTAAATCACTTTAAAGTTAATTGTTGTTAATTGTTATTTATTAAACTTTTTACTACTTTACACACTTATTAAATTACTTTAAATCAAGAAATTTTTTAGTATTTTTTACCGACAAAATTTACACGCGTCTACTCTACGACAATCTCTAACCGGAAGTGACGGGAATTGACAATATTCATAAAAAAAATTATACTGTAATATTTTTATTACTATAAGATATTTTTGTCCTATTTTTAAATTAATAAAAATTGTATATATAAATATAAAATAGAAATAAATAGTAAAAAATAATTATTTGATATAAATGTTGCCAACCTTATAAAGACGAAAGACGAAAAATTTCTGCTTGGCTCCAGGTCAAAAAAAGATGGCCATTTTGGAAAACACAATTTTAAAAAAAAACATTCACAATCCCGAAACTGAGTTTAAAATTAAGAAAAATTAATTATATATACTTTTTATATAATTATAATTAAACGATCGCGATTTAAAAAGAAAATCGAGCACTCCCGAATTTTTTTTTTGAAAAAGAAAATATTTAATGAAATTTATTATACTAGACACAATTTATTTTTGTGAAAAAAAACGCGTGGGCATAGAGAACAAAATCGACTAAAATCCTCCAATACACACAACGATTATTTATTATTGAAACACATGTTTAAACATGTCGCGACACACGAATAGTAACTGATGGTTTGGAACAAATTTCTCTCGTAAATTTGCTTATCTACTATAAATGGCAATATGTACACATATCAACCCCTTTGCTTTACGTTAATAACTGGAAATATAAACACAACAACGCTAGAAACCCCAATTTTGCCAACATAGTAAACTTTATTTTGACTCAAGTATTTATTTCCGATTTACTAGCGAAATATATTTTCTTTTTTTTTCTATTTTCTTTTGAGAATTTAAAAAAACTAATATAGAATAATCGCTGAAATATTACTTTTAAAACTATTTTACGTTGAAAAATTCAAGTATCGAAAATTTTAAGGTTAGATTATTTTACACGCAAAAAAAGAAGAAAAAATTACCGTATTTATACACTATATAGTTGATAAATCTAATTTATTTAAACACTGTTAATTACTTTTAAACATAAAAAAAACATTAATCGCGATTTAATTACAATGTAAAAATTGAAGAAAACTGATCGTTGACGATTTTCTTCTCTAGGCCCACAAATTTAGTGAGCGACACTAGCGCTCTTGCGGCAAAAGTGTTGCAACTCAGATGGAACATTTTACAAATGGCGCAAATATATGAATTGAATTAAAAAAAATTAATTTTCTTTTTTTTTTCGACGAAATATTTTTATTTTCGCTTTTTTTAAAATATCGCATAATAATAATAATAATGAATTTATTCGACATTGTGTTCCATTTTTTTTTTGATTTACAGATAGAGATATACATATATTATTTCTTTTTTTTTTTTAAATTACAATCCGTAGTATTTTTTTTTTTTTTATTTCTTTTTTTAGTTAAAATATTTGATAAATTATATAATATCAAAGATCTCAACTCTCGACAAATAGATTTTAAAAAAAGGGGACTAAAAATATCTCCAATATAACATGATTTTTGTAAATATATATATAATATATTTAAACATTTTTTAAATTCAAATTTTTTTTTTTAAGTCTAAAAACACTTTTTTTAAATTAAACAATTTTTTTTTAAATCTAAAAACACTTTTTTTTGTCGCTTTAAAAATTTATAATACCTATTGGCCATTTAAAATTTGTCACTATTAATTATTATATTTTGGAACACTTTTGGAAATTTGCAATTTACTCTAATGTTAAAATTTATAGATGTGTATAAACATTTTTAACAAAATTAAAATGTTAATTAAAACTTGTTTGCAAATTTATTTAAATTTTTTATCCAACTATAAATATTTCTGAAAAAAAAACAAACACGAGTCGTGATATTTAAAAAACAAATCAATATTATTAAATATTAAAAAATATATATTTATATAACGGAAATAAAAATTAAAAATAAAATCATTTTTCTAATTTATGGTAAATTAATTTTTAAAAAAATTATAATAATCTAAACAAATTAAAATTGTACAAACAAAAATTATTTCATTTTTTTAGGCATTAAAAAAAATTGTGTTTCTATAAAAATTATTAAAAAAAAAAAAATTAACGACTCTTGAATTTTTTAGTATTTTACAGAGACGTTTGAATTTTTCTCTTAAATTTTCCATAAAATTCAAAAAAACTTTACATACAAATTGAAAATTATTTTTTTATTAACTTTATCACAAAAAAAAATTACAAAATAAATTATTTATTATTATTATTTATTATTTAAATTAATTAAGAAATAAAAATTCGTTAAAAAAAATTCATTTTCAATTCAATTTAAAAAAAATGTAAATTTTTCATAAATTATTGTTTAGTAATTGTAATAATTTTTTTATAATAATAATAATAATAATAATAAAAATAATAATAATAATAATAATAAAAATAACTGTAAATTATAATTATAAATTATAAAATTATAAATTCCATAATTGTTAAAATAATTATAAAAGTAAGAATTTTTATTAATTTCTTTTTTTTGTTTGATTAAAAGAATTTAAAAAAAGGAGAAAAATTCAATCGTTTCGTTGTGCATTTTTCTCTTATCGAGAGATCTATGTAAAAAATAAAAGACTTAGAAACGTGCATTTTTAACATCAATAACATTGTCGATTGTAAAAAAAAAAAATTAAAAAAAAAATTAAAGACGGATTTTCCTCGATCTTATTATTTATAAATATATTTCTGTGAATCGTGTGCTTCATTTTTTTTTCTTTTTTCATTAATATTTATACATATGTTCGTATTTACAATTAGGAATGAAACTTTGAACCTAACAAACTGAGCCTTCTCTAATTTCCCAGGTCAGTTCGAACGAAATGAAAATTAAAAAAAAAAAAAAATATTCAAAACTGACGCAAAACGGGACGCAATTATAAAAATTTCGGGTTTTTTTTTGTAATTGTCTCAATGAAAGTCTCGACATTAATTTTTTTTTCTACTTTTTCATTTTATTTTCATTTCATTTTATTAAAAGTTCTTAATTATTTTTTTTGCTTTAATTTAAATTTTTTTCAATATTAATTAAATTTTCATTATTACTGATTGAATTAATTAATTTAATTGTGAATAAAAACTAAAAAAAAAAAAACATGGTCATTCTATAAAAAAGAAGCAAAAATTATAATTTTCTTTTTGTCACCTTTTTTTTTTTGAAACTTTCATCGAGAAATTTTTAAAAATAAAAATCCTTCGATTAAAAAAAAAAAACAAAAATTGCCCCGAAAAAAAATTTCAATTGTAAAATATTTTTTTAAATGCAACTATTTAGAAATTAAATTACCATCTCAAAGCAAAAGGAATAAAATGGAAAATCACAAAAAAAATTAAAAAAAAAAAATTCTATCAATTAAAAAAATTTCTAAGAGACTTTTACAATTAAGCGTAAAAATTGATATATACGAAAAATCACAATTTTTCCAATTTCTTTTTTGTTGAGAAGGAAAAAAATGTGATTCTCAATTATCAATTTAAGATTATTCTTTTTGACTAACTAAAAAGCCATGCGCAATATAATGTGCAGGCTCATTTAATTTGGTTCTGTACAAATAGGAAATTATTTTCGGATTTCTTTTCTTTATCTGTATGTGTGTCTATATATGTGTGTTTGTGTGTGTTTTTTTTCTTCTTCTTCTTTCTTTTTAATTTTTAAATTTATTTACTACTCAAGGATTGAAACCTCGGTAAACAAAGGCCAAATTTCGATTCGATTCCAGTGAAAATTGGAAGCGCTACTTCATAACCGCCAATGTGATCAGGATTTGTCGATCGGATCTCATCGGCAACACCTGTTGACGGTACTTTCAGTTCTGATCCACTTGGTCGTCTGAAGAATTGAAAAAAAAAAATTATTTTCGAAATTTAGATAAAAAAGGAAAATTAATTTAAAAAAAAATCGTACTTTTTTTTCTATACTTATATAGGATGAAATTTTTTAGTTTTAATTTTTTCTTTTTGTATATTAAATTTTTGCAAAAAAAATACTCACGATCCTCCAAAATCGACAACAAATAACCTCTGAAGAACCTCGTAAGTAAAGAGCGTTACTCCAAATTGCGGCGACGACCTGAACACTCGGGCTGTAAAAATAAAAATTCCAAATATTTAATAATGAAACAAAAAAAAAGGAAAAATTTTCTACGGTGGTGTTTCTTTGTCGAAATAAAGAAACTATGGTGATTTGAACAATTAGTTAATTTATCACTTTACACGATTTTCTTCTTCTTCTAAATCACTTCTAAATAATATCAAAAAAAATTATATTCCCAAAAAAAAGTGATCAAAAATTACTAATCTAGTAAAACAAAAAAAATCTAATAAAATAAAATTATCAAATATAAAAAATTTTCTAAAAATAAAATTTCAAGTTTAAAAATTTTTAAATAAGAAATTTTTGGAAAATTTCGTCTAAAGTGATTAACTGCAGTGAATTAAAGATAATAATTAATTTCCAATTCGTCAAAATGAAATTATTATTTTATTATTTAAAGGGGGAAAAATTATTACTGAATGAAATCAATTAGCGATGATGTATTTTTAATAGTAAAAAATAAAATTAGGACAGTTAATTACTTATTTTACTTTAATTAGTTAATTACAAAATAATTTTTTGACTAATGGGAAACAATTTTTTAACTAAAACCCTTTTTTTTAATTTATTTTTATTTTTTGGAAATTACTTAAAGCAAATAAGTTAAGACACAGAAAAACTGCAAAGAAAATAGAACCAAATATAATCGCGTGCAATAAATCGGTTATTTAATTAGCTATGAATGATTCAAAAAAAAAAGTGAAAATCACTAGCATTTTTTTTTTTTCTTCTTTTTTTCTACTTACTGATGAGCAAGTCACCGGGTCATGTAAAAGAGAAAAAAGCGGTCGATTGTTGTCACAGGTTGAAATTTTAAACCCATGCAAAAATCGACCAAATCAAAATATATTACTAACTATGCCAAAAAGAGGAAGAAATGATAATTTATCTGAAATGCTTTGCTTTATTATGCAAAAAAAAAATTACTACTGCTAATTAAATTATATATTTATAAAATAGCTGAAAAATTGAAAAAGAAAAGAAAATTATCAAATTTAATATTTATTTTATTACCTGTTGCTCCTTTCCAAAATGCTCTCGCTCCTTCTTCCCTGTAAATTTTTCTCGCACAATCAACAAGTCCATTGTATGTCGTTTGTCCTTTTCTCGCAACGACCTAAAAAAACAAATTTTATTTTTATTTATTTAAACAAACCCTCCCGTACAAATAATACTAGTTTTTATTTTACTTTCATTTTTTTTTTATTTTTCGATTCTAAAAGTAAATGTTCTAAAAATTATTTTTGATATTAATTTTTTATTATTATGACGATTTCGTTCTTTTTATTATATACTTTTATTTTATTCCATTTTTTAGATTCTAAAAGTAATAAAATAAAATAGTAAATTATTAAAAATAATAAATAAATATTAATAAAATAAATAATTAAATATTAATAATAATAAAAAAAAATTGCAAAAAAAATATTTTTTTCTTTAGATTTTTATTCAAGAGGTAATTTTTTTGAATATTTATAATTAAACAAACCTGTAGACGAGTTTTGATAACATCGGCAGGAGTGACAAGAGCAGCGGCCGGAACACCGGCAATTGCACCGGAAATAAGAAGCGATAATGGTGTATTGTATCCACCTTCGTCAGCCATTCTCGATTTTGTATGAGCGTACATTGGAAAATAAATAGCGCTAAAGGGCACATCTCTCAAGAAACATGCCCTAGCTCCCTAAAACGAAAAAGAAAATTAATAAAAAGAATTGTTAAGAAATTAAAAATTAAGAAAATAAAAAAAGAAATTAAAAAATTAGTGTAAATGTAATTAAAAAAAAATTCAATAAAAAAGAAATATAAACTAAAAATTTTTTTATCATTTTTGTAGTCAAATTTTCTACTCACTTTATACAATCCAAATAGTCCTAATTCCTTAACGACAGCCCAAGCTCTAACTTTTTGACCTCCCATTATTTCACCAGCAACTTGCAAACGAATTTTCACAATTTCCAAAGGATTTGTAAAAATTACTTGAGAGCCTCCGGCCTTGAGAAAAATATATTTCGATAAATATTTTTTTAATTTATTTAAAATTTTTTTTTGTTTTATTTTAAATATTTTAATTAATAATTCAAAAAGGTGGAAAATCATTTTAAAAAAAGAAACAAGAAGTAATCATTAAAAACAAAATAAATTAAATACTTACACAAGCGCCAGAAACAATTTCCCCAACAAGTGGAATATTTCCATTTTTATCACTAAATTTGTCACGACAAAAATCATTGACTGTGAGTTTAATGGCTTTTTCTGGCGCAACACCCATTAATTGTGGTACTAATCCGCGATAAAGTCCAAAGAAGCCCTCGTGTCTGATGACCTATGTGTTTGCAAAAAGAAAATTTGATTTCAAATTTACAATTAAATTTAATTAAATAATAACAATGATAAAAAAAAGAATTGTTAAACTTAAACTTCTTTAAATAAATAAAAATAAATTTATAAAAATAATATTTTATTTAATAAATCACGCAATAAAATAAAAAATAATTTATAAAATGTAGGGAACAACTATTTTATTTACCTCCTACAAAAATAATATAATAATAATAATAATAATAATAATCGACATCAAAATTATTATTTTTTTTTTGTAAAATTTTATGAACCATTTGTCGAGCCAAGGAAAAATTAATTTCGAAATATTTTGGAATTTATTAAGAGTTTATCTTTTAAAAACTTTTTTTTTTGGTCCAAACTAGAAAAAATTAATAATAGAAATAAGAATGAAATTTTTTTTCGTTTCGTACCTTTTTACAACAATCGAAACTATTTCTGTACATCAATTCACCGATGAATGAACCTGTTCTTTGATTTTGCATTCGTGTCTTCACCAAATCAATGGGATAAACTGCAGTCGCTCCCACAGCTGAAAATTCATTTTTTTTTTGTTAAATATTATATTTAAATAATTATATTTATTATTATAATGTTTATTATTATTATTGCTATTATTATTAATAAATAATAAGTTAATAATTATTTAAATTCAACTAATTATTATTTGATTAATAATTTACTACTTTATTTAAATTTTTTCTTTTTTAATATAAAAATGTAATAAAAAAATAAAAAATTTTTTAACTTTTTTTCCTGATTTTTAAGCTCTTTTCAAATTTGAAATTCAAAAATTTTCTCTATTAAAAAAAAAAAAAAGGGTGAAATTTAGAAAATTATTAAGCTCACCTCCACCAACGGATCCGAGAACAAATCTGTAGCTGCTCTCAAGAATTTGAACTACAACTCCACGTTCCTCTGGACTCTGAAATTATTTCCTTTTTATTATTTATTTTCATTTTATTATTTTTAATTATTATTCAATTAAATTTGTAATTTTTTTTTTCAATTATTTTATAAATGTAAAGTAAATGTAACTTTACTTTTTATTTATTTATTATTTTTATAATAAGTAATTTAGCAAAAAAAAAAGGAATTTAGTAATTAATTATTTTTGTAAATAATAAATAAAATAAATTTCTTATAAATAATTTACAATAATAATAAAAATTGGTATAGATTCTAAATAAATAAATAAAAATCATCAATATCTACACTTACGGAAACGGCTTTGATTTCAGCGAGTCTTTTGGTGATTTGCTTGAAATACTGTTCGGGAGTAATTGCCACAAGGTCATTATAAACGATCTTTCTGAAAAAGTAAATATAGAAATAGTTAAAGAAAAAAAGTAAAAAAGATTTTTTTTTTAACAATTAGAAAATATGATGAAGAATCAGGTCATCGTCGATTTTTTTTGGAGAATTTGTCGCCTTTCTAAAAAAGTATTGAAAGTGAAAAATATCAAAATGATATAAAAAAATAATGAGTTAATACAAAAAAGAGAAAGAGGAAGAGAAAGAGAGAAAATTTGTGAAAAATATATTTAAGAAAAATGTGACGTAAAAATATTTGCGAGAAAAATGAATTATGATGTAAATTAATAAATAAATATTAAAACAACAACACGAGAGATATTCTGAGAAACAAAAAACGCACCCAAATCGCTTAAACTTCTCAGCAACTTCTGTAGATCTGATCATCCAAAGCAGCGAGAAAAAAACACGTAAAGAAATTTTGTTCAATGATGACAAAATGTCCTCTGTTTTTCTTTTTTTTATAAACTTTTTTTTTTGTTAAAGCAAACACGTAATTTTTTTGTGAAAAAAAGAGAAAAAACGGAATTTTTTTTTAAAAACACAAAAGACGGAATTTTGTGGTGGGAGGCAATTTTTTCTTATCAAGAAATAAATTGAAAAAAAATATTAATCATACCCCGTATGATGAAGTAAATCACAAAGATGAAAGAGAATATCAACTTCCAGTGGCGTTATTTGGGACATCATTTGTGCAGAGTGAAGAAATTCCTCTATAAAAAAAGAAATAAAATTTGTTTTTCCAATAATATCTTTATAATAAAAAAAAAAAAAATTGATATTTTAATAAAATTATTTGTAATAATGAAAAATTTAATAATTAAATTTATCGTAAATTTCAATCGAAAATTTTGTAATTGTAATTTTAATTAATTAAATTAAATTCTAAAAAACAATTTTTGTCAATAATAATAATAATAATAATTGAAAATACCTTTTGTGACTTCTTGATTTCTATGGCCATTCGTTGCATTCAAATAGATTCGTTTAATCAACTCCATATTATTAAGAAGAGAATTAAAAGCCATAAAATAGGGGAAACTGATTTTTTTCGAAGTGTGTCCAGCACTAACTGCCTGCAAAAAAAGCAAAACAAAAAAAATAAATAAAGTTTAATAAATGTGATTTACTATAAAATTAAAAATAATAAAAATAATTATTGTAAAATAAATCTTTTTTTTTTCATTTAATATTATTTCTTTATAATGTTCATATTTCTTACCGTTATTAAATTATCCTTAACGTCCTTAGTGAGAAGATGACTTTTTATACTAAGCATTATGTCCTGAAAATCTAGTGCTGTTATAAAACCACTGCCATCTTTGTCGAATTTTTTAAAGGCCTCAGTGGCATATTCTTCATGAAAGTCCTGCAAAGAAAAAAAAAATTAATTCAAATCTAAAAAATTTTCAAATTATTTCAAAATATAAATAATTTCAAAATAAATAATTTTCAAATTATTCCACAATTATTTTAAAATAAATAATTTTCAAATTATTCCACAATTATTTCAAAATAAATAATTTTCAAATTATTCCAAAAATATTTTAGATAAATAATATTTAAACTAAGTATTTCAAAATATAGAATTTTCAAATTATTCCAAATTTATTTATTTCTTCATTGGTTTTTAATTTCAAAATTCAAAAAAAAAGAAAAGAAAAGTGAATTAATCAACTGAACGTGAAAAAATTTAATTAATTTTGAAAAAATAAGTATTAAGTTTTAATTAGTTTCGAGAGTTAGTTTCATAGTTTTTTTTTGAAGTTTACTTTTTATTAATTTTCCACTTTTCATTCAATTTTGTTTTCTGCTTCTCAACTTTCATAAACAGAACTTGTGGTTTAACTTGAAAAAAAACCAATTTAATAATACGTCTACTTTATTTGTGCAAAAAAAAAAATGTTATTTGAAGTTAAAAAATTTTTAAAAATATATATAGTAATAAAATTCATTAATATTTAAATAATAATAATAAATAACAATATTTAAAAAATTATTTTTTTTAAAAAACAAACTTACATGTAGGAACTGACTGAATTCTGCATAACTAATAAGCCTCTTTTTGTCTTTTCCAAAGTACAATTTTATAAAACTGCTGTCCATATTGAAAGGCATCTTTTGATGCAAAACAGTTTTTCTCATCACCTCAGCGAACTCCTCTAAATTTCAAAAAATAGAAAGAAAATAAATACAAAATTTAAATAATAATAATAATATATATTTCCTTCAATTTTTTTTACTTAATTTTTTTTTTATATATAAAATTTATTGTACAAAATTTACATTTACAAAAAGTTTTTTTTTTCACAAAGAATAATAATTCAGCAATTAGAAATTAAAATAAATTTTCGAACAAATTAAAAAAAAATTTTTTATAAACGAAAACTTTAGGTAATTATTGTTTTTTTATTCAGGAGAGAAAATTTAATAACAAAAGAATTTAGTAAACAAAATAATTTTAATTATTAATTTTATTGTTCTTTTTTTCCTTAAAAAAATTGTAATTTTTTTTATACAGGAGAAAATTTAATAAGAAAAGAATTTAGCGAAAAAAAACTTTTAATTATTATTATTTTTATATTGTTCTTTTTTTATTAAAACAAAATGTATTTTTTTTTTATTCGGAAGAAAATTGAATAACAAAAGAATTTAGCAAAAAAAAAAGGAATTATTATTTTTATTGTACTGTTTTCTTAAAATAAAATGTAATAAAAAAATAATTTTAGTAGAAAAAAATTTGAAAATAATTAATATTTTTGTTTTTTTCTCTTTTTATTTAAAAAAAAAAACCCCCGCAATACGAAAACAATTTGTCAGAAAAAAACATTTTAAAAATATAAATTTAATTATTTACTCACCAAATGCAACCATTCCATTTCCATTTGTGTCAAAGAGCTGAAAGGCCGTCTTATAAAGTGCATCGGGCACGCAGAGAAGGCCCTCGAAAGATTGAAACTCAGCAAATGAGATGAGTCTTCAAAAAAAAAGGGGAATTATTTTTTTAAAAACCAATTTTTTTTTATAAAGCAAATTTTGTTTCTTTAAACACTAAATTTTTTCTTGTAACTATATACAAAAATGTAATTTTATCAAATATTATCAGTATTAGATGCATAAAAAAAACAATAATTTTCCATTCAATTTTGTTTAATGATTTAATAAGTAAATATTTTAATAATTAATTAATTAAATTTTTTAATAATTTTAATTAATAATTTTTACTAATTAATATTTGATATTTTAATGATTTAATAAGTAAATATTTTAATAATTAATATTAAATTTTTTAATAATTTTAATTAATAATTTTTACTAATTAATATTTGATATTTTAATATTTTATTTTTCCATTTTCTTTTTTCTAATAAATATTAATTTAATTATTTTCTCATTTAAAAAAAAAAAATTAAATTTACTTTTTAGACACAGGAAATAAAATTTTTTTCTCCTAATTTTGTTTTTTGTTTTACAGAAAAAAATTTCATATTCTTTTTTTTGGTTTTTTAAATTCTCTTACCCATCTTTGTTGGTATCAAGGATTCCAGCGAGTAACTTGACAGAGTCAGGGTTGAAATCGGCATCAGTGTAAAGGCCAAGGTAACTCCGAACAAAGTCAGCCGATGTCATGAACCTCTCACCATTCTTCTCTTGCGTGGCATACTGTAATAAATACCAAACTATTTTTAATTAACATTCGTATATATATATATATATATATATATATGTATATAAATAATTAAATAATAAATCAAAAATTTATTTTTTGAAAAAGTTTTTAAATGTCAATATATTTTTCTTGAAATTTAAAAAATAGAAAACAAAAAAAAATCGCGACTGGGATTCCCCGTTCGATATACTTTTATTTCCCAAAGGGATTCCCCGGAATTTAACAGTTATTTTTTGTATTTTATATTTTATTTTTTGCATAAATAAATATATAAGTAGATAATTAAATAAAATACGATATATTTTTTAATAATAAAAAAATAATATATATATTCAAAATATTATAATAAATAAAATAATAATATTTCGTATGTTAATAAATAATTAAAGTTAAAATTAATTAATTAAAATTAAAATAAATTATTTTATTAAAATAGAAAAAAAATCAAAATATTAACTGAAAATATAAAAAAAGGGAAAACGGAGATAAAAAAATAGAAAATTTCAAAATTTGAAATTAAAATTAAAAATAAAAATATAAAATTAAGAAAATGGAAAATTAAAAAAAAATCAGATTGTTGCGATTTTATATAAATATAATTAAAACGAGAAAAATTCGTAATTTATTATAATTTTTTTTTTTTTTTTCGAGAAGACGTAAAATATCCACATTGACCTAAAAGCCATTCATTGATAAGGATTCACTTTTACGAAAGATCTTATAAAACATTATTCGCTAAAAGCGATTATATGATAAATTGGATGAAATCGATCTCATTTACAGAAAAAAAAAATAATATTCCCGATATTTACCTGATTGAAGATTTCATTAAGCCGATCACTGTTTGCTCGTTTCAAATATCCGGAACCCTGTAACAAAAAAAAAAACAATTAACAAAAAATACTTCAAAAAATATTTATTCTAAATAATTTGTTAAATATTTTATTTTTGTATTTTTATTATTATTTAAGGCCATGAAAAAAAAATATCTAAATTTATTTATTTGTTTAAATTTAATTTTAATTAAAATAAAAATTTTTTTTAAATAAAAATATTTTTAAATATAGAGAAAAAAAACGATAAAATTTTCAATTTCAAACTGCCCTTGAAATTTGTATATATAGTCAAGCGCGCTGAAAAATTATTGCGTAACAAGAGAAACAGTTTTGCAATAATAATTACTTATACAATTTAATCCAAATTATCAAAAACAAACACAAATTAATGATTCTATTTTTTTTTTGCCAATTCATGAAAAAAAGAAATTAAAAAAAAATTAGCATTTACAAGAATTTGTCAATTAATTAATCTGATTTAATTTGTCTCATTTGCAATCAATTTCAATTCTTAATTTTTCTTAAAATTAACATTTTTGTCTCAAACGTTTGAGATTTTTTTTTGAAAGAAATTAAAAATAAAAATTTTTTCAACAATATTTTTTTTATTTTAAAAATTAAAAATAGATTATCTCGCAAGTTAAATTAAAAATAACGTTCTAGTTTTTGAAAACACTGCGAAAATTTATCAAAAAAAAAAGAAAAAAAAGAAAATATTTTAAAAATTACAAATTTAAGAATTTCAAACTCAAATTAATTTACATATTAAATATTTAAAGTAGATAAAAATTTATTTTTTTTAAGCAAATAAGAAAAAAAATTTGTTTTTTTCTATAGGAAAAATTATATAAAAACGACTTTTATTATTAAATAATTTTATATTATTTTGTACAATTAAATTAAATTTTATTTTTTAATAAATTAAATAATTTTTTTTTTTACAATATTAAATTAATTTGAAATCCATTGATGTTTGAAATAAATAAATTAAATTAAATTTTAAAAAAATATTTTTTTTAAGCAAATAAGAAAAAAATTTTGTTTTTTTCTATAGGAAAAATTATATAAAAACGATTTTTATTATTAAATAATTTTATATTATTTTGTACAATTAAATTAAATTTTATTTTTTAATAAATTAAATAATTTTTTTTTTCAATATTAAATTAATTTGAAATCCATTGATGTTTGAAATAAATAAATTAAATTTAAAAAAATTATTAATTAAATTGTTTTTTAATTACACTCTAATTTTCATTAATTAAATTAAATAATTAAAATTCATTTTGATAAAACATTTTTATTTTATCGCAAAAAAAAAATTTCGTATAAAATCTCATCTCTATATGGAATTTAATGAAAAAAATATATATGATCACGTGTTTACCACGTGGTTCTCGTATAAAAAAAAAAAATTTCAAAAATTTTTTTTTTCGTCCTAAACAAGAAATTATTTTTTTTCTTACAATATTAAATTTTTTTTTTCTAAAATCTTTTTTAATTTGTACGTAACGAATATTGTTATAGAAAAATTATAACTTCTCGTATGTGAAAATTAATCTCAAGGTCGCAGTGTCTCTCAAATGTAATATTAAAGAAATCATCATCAATAAGACCAAGAAACAATAATTATCAAGTGAATAAAAAAGATAATTTAATTACTTTCTCGATGATAACAAAAAAAAAACTTAATTGTTTTTTAAGAAAATTTAATTTTTGCAAAATTAAAAGCTGAATTTTTTTTTCGAAATAATTAAGAAATAAAATAATAATAATAATAATAATAATAATAATAAATTCCCTAAGCAAAAAAAAAAAATAATAATAATAATAATAAATTCCCTAAGCAAAAAAAATAAATAATAATAATAATAATAAAAAATTAAGAATTAAGGAGTAATTAAGATTATTAACCTCAAATTGTTTAAAATATTAATCGATTTTAATTAATTTTGTTTTTTATCATAATTTTAATTTAATTACTGCGCCCTTAATACTGCGGTTTAGAAAAATTTAATTAACTATTTACTAACGAATTTTAAGTCATTTATTTTTATGTAATTAATTAAAAATAATTAATATTCAAATTAAATAAAAATTTACACCTGTTAATACGTTCATTAATATCAAATTAGTAATGAAAAAAAAGAAAAACAATGGAAAATGTTTCAAATATTTCCGCGTTCATACACTTTCTATCAATTATTAAGAAAAAAAAAAAGAAAAACAATAAAAGTGGGTCGGTCACATGTTGCAATTTACGTAATTTGTTGCCTCGCGCGATCTAAAAAAAAAATACTATATAGTCGTTAACAAGTTTTACGCACTTTTTAATCTTTTTTTATTTGTTGAAAAACAAAATATTCACTGATGATAAAAAAAAAAAAAAACGTACTCTTGTGTATGGCATGACGTACAATAAACAGGTCGGATGTAACTAGAATTAGAATCCAGTGATGCTCAATGTTGGTGACGATTTGTGATGAAAGAAGGAAAACACGTGCAAATTTATTGTACACGTGTCATTAGAGGGGAACAAAAAAAACAACTGATTTTTTAATTAAAACGATTATATGTCACATACACACACATAAAGCACATACTATATAAATATAGAAAAACTGATTTAGATTTTTCACTATATGAATACACGAAATAAGTCACTAAGGAACTGGATGATATTTCTCTTTCGATATTGAGGAACCGTGGCGGCCACTTCATTCAGTTCTTCTCCCCCCCCTCCACTCATTTGAAACTCAAGAGAGAAAAAATATCTACGTCTTTATCTTTGTCTTAGTTTTTTTCTCTCTCTCTCTCACACAAACTTATATATACTGGGTGTTTAATTTTTATTTATTAAAATTATTTAATTATTATTATATGGATTAATTAATAATAGTAAAATAATAATAATAACAATAATAATACTATAATAATAATACAACAATAATAAAAAAAAATAATAATAATAATACTAATAATTAATCAAAATTTTTATTTTGTTAAATGGTACAAGTTTTATTATTAAATTTTTTTTTTTTGAAAATATATCAATTAATTTCAATAAATAAAGGATGAATAACAAAATTTTGAATTTATATTCTATTTAAAATTTTTTCCCGCCGTTATTTTAGTGTTGTTTGGGCTTATTTTTTTTTTTGTTCAGTTGGCATCGCTGCAGTATTGTTAATTTTGTTCATATAACCTCAAAAATTACAATATTGACGTTTTATCGATAAAAATTGTGAAAAATTTTGTTTGTTTAATGAAAATTAAAGTATTTTAATATATTATGTTACTGAGAAACGGCAAATTATTCGTGAATTATTATAAAGAAGGGCCTGTTTTATAATACTATATGATTATTAAAAAAAAAAAAGTGCAAATCATAATAAAAATTTAATTTTAAGAAAAAATTATTTTTGCTAACAGAAAAAAGGATTTAACAATTGTTTTTTAGGTAAATAAATTTTTAAATATAATAGAATGATTAATATTTATAATTGATTAATTTAATATTGATTAATAATTAAATTTAATTAAAAAAAAAAAATTAATGGGAAAAATTTCTATTCTGTCTTAAAAATTTTTTTTTTTATTTTTTTATTTGAGATTTAATTTTCATAATAATCAGCAATATACCTAAAATGATCGACAGTTTATTGAACAACAGAAAATGTTGAGAGGTTAATCGCGCAGTTCTTGACTTTTATTTATACATATATATATATATATATACATCAGTGATAAGCAATAATGAACTTAAGCCCTGCAAAATCTCTCTCTAACTTCCAAGTGAAAATATTTGCAAAAACTGAGACTATAAGATTAAAATTATTAATATTTCGCTTGATATAATACAATCAATTAAAAAATTCTTTAATAAACATCTCAAAGTATTATTTATTAAACAAAGATATAATTCACATTTTTTTTTCTCTTAATCGCAATTGCAATTTTTCAAAATAATATTTGACAAAAAATTTTCTATTTAATACAGCCAAAATGTTTTTTTTTTTCTAAAATAATATTATCGAACTTAATATGACAATATTTATTTATTTAAAAGAAAATTTATTTAGAATAAATAAAAAAATATTAAAATATTAATATTAAAATAATAATAACAATATTAATAATATTAATATTAATATTAAAATAGTTTTTAAAATAAATAAATAAAATAAATAAAATAAATAAAATAAATAAAATAAATAAAATAAATAAAATAAATAAAATAAATAAAATAAATAAAATAAATAAAATAAATAAAATAAATAAAATAAATAAAATAAATATAATATTAAAATAATAATAAATAAATAATTCTACGTTAAAATATAGATTTTTTTGAAACAATGTAAATTAAAAAATTATTATTACAAGTAGATTTGATTTAAAATTACAGATTACAAAAAAAAAAATACTAAATTCGCTAATTATTTTTTTTGAAAAATTATTTTATAAATAATTATATAACGAGATAATACTAAGATAGAAAATATAAAAATTGAATCAAACAATATTATCTTGAAAATGATAATAACAAAATGATATAATTAATAAAAATAATAAATTACAAAAAATTTGAAATAACTTTAACGGGGTGGAGAAAAAAAATGGAAATTTAAAAATATTTTTTCACAAATTTATATAAATGCAAGTATATAACTGACCTCAGGCTGTAAATTATTATTCCTTGTAATCATGACGAAATTTTTTTTTTTCAACAATTCACACAATTCGATAAATTTGTCATTGCTATTTTTAAAAATAAGTACAATTGCACAATTTCCTTTTTTTATAGTAAAAATTTAAAAAAATACTTTTTTAAAAAAAAAATTGAGATCAATAATTCATTTATATCGATTTATATTATAAATATTTAATTAATATTTATATATTTTAAATATTTTATAAATACAATGTATTTATTAATATTAAAAAAATTAATTAGAGGGGCGAATAAAAATTTTTTTCGAACTAATTATTATTATTATTAATGAATTATAATTAATTAATAAAAAAAAAAAACGCGAAAGGTCCACGACTTACGATGTCATTCTAGAGACTAAAAGCAGGAAGCTACGATAGAAAATCACACACCGCGAGAGTGAGAGAAGTGTACCTCGAGGAAATCTGGCTCTTTGACGGCGGTGGGGCCGATTTAATCGTAGAGCCAGAAAAAGAGAGAGAGAGAGAGAAAATAGTCAGTGTTTCTTGCGTGAAAAAGAGCAAGAAAATGTATGAGAGAATGTGAAACATATACTAAAAGAGATGAGAACTAAAATCCTGAAATAAAATTAAATATCTGGTCTAAAAACGATTTCAATAACGCATCGAGCCAAGTTTCCTTCTTCAATAATTTTTATATTTTAATTTGCAATTAATTTTCCCACAAATCAAATTAACGAAAAAAATTTAATTCAAAACAAAATTACAATTATTTTTCATAAAAAATAAAATAATAAAAATTTTATAAAAAATTAATATCAGTTAATTTTTTATAAAATTATTTTTTTTATTTATTAATTTATTAAATAACAAATAAAAAAAATTAAATATGTAAATTAATTTTCAAAATCGAATTAAGAAATTAATTATTAAAAAAAAAATTGTCTAAAAATGTAAATTTAATTTTCGATTAATTTTCCGCTATTTGATTAATTAGAATTTTATATTGTAATAAGTTTACTTTATATATTCTAATTAGTTTGACAAATAACACAATGTTTAACATGTAGAATTCAAAGAATTGATAATAACAATATAAAAAATTTGTAATGCAAAATATGTGTTTTTCATTAACATACATTTTATAATTTTTGTACATATATATATATGTATATATATTTGTCAAGTCCAAGTATCGTGTGGCAAATTTGCAATAATCATGAATGACGCAAAGAGTCTCTTGGGGGCCAAGATAAGAGAAATCTTTTTTTCATTTAGCAATAATAATGATATAAGAAATATATATATATATATATATATATATATATATATATATATATATATATATATATATATATATATATATATATATATATATATATATATATATATATATATAAATAAGAAGCGTCTGTCTATATAATAAATCGTAAAAAAAAAATAATTTATTTTTCCTATTTTTTGAAACTAAAACAAATTTTTTTTTTCATTTCTAATAAACAAATTATTTTTTAATATAAAAAAAATAATTAATTTTATTTTCTTTTTATTTTTGTATAAAAAAATAATTTATTTTTATAGGGGGTAAAAAAATAATTTTATTTTTATATAAAAAAATAATTTTAAATAAAAGAATAATTTTATTTTTATATAAAAAAATAATTTTATATAAAAGAATAATTTTATTTTTATATAAAAAAATAATAATAATTTTTTTTTAAAAATGCAATTAAAATTGAATAAGAAAAAAAAAGTGGACAAAATTATTTTTTATTTCAATACGCGAAATATTAGATATAAAAAAAAAATAAATAAATAGAAAAAAAAACAATTGAAGAATGTGAAAGAGAAAATAATTCTAAAATGAGGCCCACGTGGTTTTAATAAGACACACGTGCGTTCATTTGTTGGCAATTAATGAATATTTTTTTGCGCACACATATATATGCGCACAAACAAAAGAAATACTTTTATATTATTTGACGCCCGTTTATTTTATTATAGGCATATATATATGTATATATATAGTGCGTGAATCATGATTCAGACGGAGTGGTCCCGAACTACTTCTTTTTTTTTTATTTACAACCCGGAGGTAAATTCCGGTCAAGGTGGCGCCTATCGACATTTGGATCAATCACAAGTAAATTTAATTTTTAACATAATACAATTTTCTAAACTATTTTTTTTTTTAATTTTAATTAAATAACAATTGTTTTAACAATTTTTTTTCTATTAAAAATGATAATGATAATAATAACTATAAGAAATAAGACTAACTAATAATTATAATAATAATTAATTTTCCGTATGTATTTTAATTAATTTTTTTGGTAATTGAATTAATTACAAAAATAATTTAGTAATAATTCAATTTTCTATTTTTTCAATTCATTTCCCTGGAATTATTTTATAATAATAATAATAGGTAATAATAATAATAATAATAATAATAATAAAAGTAAATAATAATAAAAATAAATAATAATAGTAGTAAATAATATTAATAAAAATATAATAATAATAATAATAATAATAATAATAGAAATAAATAAATAATAATAATATTGTAGTAAAAATTAAAAAAAATAAAAAAACTTATTGATTAAAAAAATATTTAAAAAATTTTTTTCTGTCTAAAAGAAAATTAATGGCTTTTATTTATTTTTTTTTTTTAACAGGAGCCAAAAATTATATTCTTAAATTTAGATGTATCGTTTTTTTTTTAACTTGCGAATTCCTAAAAGATATGCAACCAGTTGTTCATGAATGTATGATGAATTGCAGAAATTTTTTTTTTCAAAATGAAAAAATTAAAAAAAATGTATTTTCTTTTTTTAATATTATAAATTTGAAAAAAAAAAATATGGAACAAATTTTTTTTTTAGAAAAAATAATTAAATTTCCAATTATAATCTCTTTGATAAATTGGCGACTATTTGCCAACTGTATAAGCGCGCACAAATTATCGCATCCTGTTCTCCAATCCAAAACGATCGGAAGATAACATTAAAAAGCTTCTCTTATAAAATGAGACTTCCTTTTTGCATATTAGAGAATAACACTCGACTTATTTTTAATTTATGTTTAATTTTTTTTAATAATTTGTTTCCCTTTAAATTTATTACTATTTTTATTATTATTATTAAATAAATAAATAAATAAAAATAAATACAAAAAAATTATTATTATTATTATTAATCACTTTTTGTAAACCTACAATAATTTTTCAAATAATAGAAATTTAAAATATTTATTTCTATTTAATATTTTTTTGCAAAAAAAAATTCTTCTTTTGTCCAAAAAAAACAAATATATTTATTTATAAATAAATAAATTTATAATAATAAATAAAAAATTCTAAATAATTAATAAAATAATTATAAATTAATTATAAAAAAATTATAACTTATAAATTATATAAATTTTATAATTACAAAAAAATTAATTATAAATAATTTTAAATAAATAAATAAATAAATTTACAAATATATTTGTTTCTCTGTAAAAATAGGAACAAAATTTTTTTTATTTTTTGTAAAAAAAATAATAATAAACTTTCTTTTTTAATAAAAAATTATAGATAGTATTTTTTTTGCAAAAAATAATTAAAAAAAGAAATAATAAAATAATTGAAAAGGTTAAAAGTGTTTTTATGTGTGTGTGGAAAAATTGGGTCACTTGTGTAAAATGAACTTTTCGGGTGGTGTGACACCCTTTCCCCCCCCCTATCTCTGTGTACATGAGAGGACGGTGCCCTATATATAAGGGGAAAAAGGGAAGTTCAACATGAACATACACAACGAGATCGAGAGTGAGGGGTCTTTTTCAGGTCCCAGTGACCTCGAAACGAAGCCAGCTTCAAGTGAACTATCAGATAGAGCAGATCGATAATATACACAACCCGCCATATTTCTCACCACTGCAGATATATCCCACCCAATTTTTTTTATTTAAAAAAAAAAATATTTTTTTTTAAATCCTCCGCCCTTTTTTACTTACAAAAAAAAAAATTATAATTTTTTCCTCCAATTTCATTTATTAATATCGAATATTGATTTTTTTTTAATTGTTAAAAAAAATTATTCAATTTTTTAAAATAATTTTTTATATAAAATAAATATAAATTATATTATTATTAAATAATATTGAATTATAAAGAAGAAAGTAAAAAAAAATTAATATCGAATAAAATTATTATTATAATTATTAATTTAATAATAATAATAATTATTATTAGGTATTATTATTATTATTATTATTATTATTATTTTAATAATTATTAATAATTATAAGAATAATAATATAAAATAAATAAAATAATGAAATAATAATAAAATAATTATATATATAATAAATATAACAAAATTATAATTAATATGTTAATTAATTTTTTCCTTTTGAAAAAAAATTGATTGTTGTTAATATTCAGGTGACAATTTTTTTTATAAATAAATTTCGATATAAATACGATAAATATGAGAAAGAGAGAGAGAGAGAGAGATGGAAAAAATCTGCAAGATAATTGAAAATAACAAATGTTGTCGCGAGCATAAAAAAAAAGAAAATAATATTATATGACGTGTACATTATGAATTTTTTGTTTATAACAATAAAAATAACTAATCGGTAAATATTTAACAAACATAATTTTTTATATCAGACAAAGTTTATATTTAAAGTTTACCTGTCATTTTGTCAGCAAAAAACAATTTTTATTGTTTCACAAATTATCAGTTTATTTATTTTTATCTCTTTTTTCTTTATTTCTCATTATTATTTATACAATAATTTACTGTAATTATTCACGATCACGATAATTATAAATAACAATATTAAAAAAAAAAAAATTATTTCACCTTGTGAAAAAATTTACTTTTCTTAAAAAATAAATTTCTGGTAAAAAAAAAATCATATTTTTCTAAATTTTGCAAAATTACAAAAATAATAATAAATGACTTACCCACCTCTTGGCTAGATGATCGAGCGACAAAAGAGTCCAACATTCCCAGTTGGATTACCTTTAGGTTTTATCCTTCGTAAGAAAATTTTTTCGAAATTCTGTTTTTGTTGATGAATTTATGTTTGTTGAAATATTATAAACAACACACTTGATTCACGACACTTTTGAAATATTTTTCGAATTAAAGTAGCAAATTTCGTTTTTTTGAAAATATTTTCCGCCCTTATTTTATTTAAAAATTAATCGCGTTTTTCTTTTCTTTTTCGGCAAAAAAATTTAAAAAATAATGAATAATACACCTCACGGCATGAAAGTCAAAGTGCTACTAGTTTGACAAGGAGCGCAACTGCATTGCATTTTACTGTCACGCCATCTCCCACGAGGTTATATACACCACATTTCTAAAAATGTATTTTCTCAGGGCTAAATAAAAACAATTTTTTTTTTTTTAATTTTGTAATACTTGCCCACCCTTAACAAAGGATTATTTTCACATCGCGATGCAAAGCGTGTTGCATTTGTCAAAAAAAAAAAATTCTAACCTCACTTTTTTGAATTCATTGTTGTTATAGAGAATAATGGAGGTTATTTATTTATTACTTTACATTAATAAATAAATTCACAAAGTCAAAAAAAAAAAAACCAAAATATCATAAAGAACTATATTTATTTTTAAAAATTAAATCTTACCGTTTATTTGAAAATTCCCGCGGAAACCGTATTACCGACAACAGCTGTTGATTGTCTTGTAATTTGACTTCTGCTATTTTCTTGAATTGACATTTTTTTTCAAATGACAACACTTTTACACTTAAAATACTTCATTAAAGATAATAACACTGTAAAGGGAATTTAAAATAAATCGCAAACATATGATTTTACTATTAGATGAACATTTTAAAAAAAAAATGTTTTAAAGTGACTGACCTATTGTCGTGACGTGTCCTGGCAACGTGCAGCAGGCGCATGCGCAGTATTGCCATACGTGGCATTAACCACAACAACAGTTCCGGCAGTAAAATAATTTTCCTTTTTTTATATATTTTATTATAATTTGTTAATTATTTATTTGAAAAAAAAAGTTTACATTTGTTATGATATTGTGGAAATAATCGACGATTTATTGTAAGTACTGAATTTCAAATTTAAATTTAAATTTACAATTCTTTTCTGACTTTTATATTTTGGTTATGATCAACCTGTCATCAATATTTTTTTTTCAAATTTTCTTTTCTATTGACATATAATATTATTAAATAGAAAAATAAATTAAAATTCTTAATGGTTTACAAAAAAAAACAAATTTAATTTTAATCATTTCTTTTGGGAATACATTTTTTTTTCTTTTTTATAAATAAAATATTCTGCGCAAGATTAGTTGAATTTTAAACCATAAATGAGTGAAAGTTTAAATACACGGAAATTTTTTTTACTGTCAAAACAAAATTATTTATTATTGTAGGAATTTTTTTTTTCTAAATATATTTAGATAATATAAATATTAATATATTATTTATATTTTATTTTTAATATTTTGTCAGTTCTAAATTATTTCCGGGAAATATTAAATTTAGTGTGAATAAAAGTACCATATGTTTATTTACTGAAAGCAAATATTTTCTAATGTATCGAGCAGACGTTATTTTATGTTAATTATAATTGATCGTTAAATGTGTTTTTATGATCATTCCCACAAATTGAGATAAATAATAGTAATAATAATAATAACAATAATAATAATAATTTTTTTCTTTATTTTGGAGGGGGAGGTATATAATAATAATAATAATAATAATAATAATATATAAATGATAATATAATAATAGTAATGATAATAATAATTATTATTAATAAAAAAAAATTAATTATAATTATTAATTATAATTATATATATAAATAATTATATATTAATAATTATTATTATATTAATAATATAATAAATAATAATAATTATTATTATACTTTTAGTTTTATTATTTAATAATAGTAATGGAAAAAATATTCAAAGAATGATTTTTAATTTTGCAAATTTTTAAATTTATAATTTACCATTTTTTTTGAAATTAAAAAAATTTATTTTGTAAATAAAAATAAATAAATTTTGAAAATTCATAAATAATATAATAAAAAAATTTTATTTTAATACAAATTTAAAAAAAACAAATAAAAAAATTACAAATAAAAAAAATTATTACAATTTATAAAACTAATCAATTTTTTTTACCAGGAAAAATATTTTTTTTAATAAATATTATATTTTATTTAAATTTTGAAAATATTTTTAAAATATTTAATTAAAACTCTTTAGTAAATGACTAATTTACCTCTATATCTATTGCTTTAAATTATTTATTTGTAAAATTTACATAAAAAAAATTAATTTACCAAATAGAAAGCAAAAAAAAAAATTCAAATTTCTTAAAAAATTAGAGAAAAATTAAAAAAATTTAAATTTTACCTCATAAAACAGAAACAAAATCCGGAGATCCTCCGCTGATTAAAATATTGTGCCTTTGCTGAACCAAAATTCACAGCAAAAGATGCCAGAACTCCAAGGGCTTCCAACTTCACAAGGTCTTCCATTTCCTGGCCAGACAGTTGGTCCCTGTCCCCAGGTTCCTGATCAACAACAACTACAACAACAACAGATAAACCAATATTCTGGACAACAGCCTCTCATGAAAAATCCGAATCAAATATCTCCTCTACTGGATCAATCAAATTCCCCAGGTTATCAACAAAGCCAATTTCCCCCATCTTCACTGCCAGGTCAATTAAATTCCTCTGGACCTCCACAAAACCAATATCCACCATCATCATCAATACCAGGACAAGTCTTTGGTTCTCAATATCCTCCAAATTCATTGCCGGGACAGAAAAATAGTCCTCCATCAATGATGGGACAATCGCCGTTTCCATCATCGACCCCAAGGAAGCAAGATCCATCCGTTCCTTTATTGCCTGGTCAACAAAATTTACCCTCAACTGGACCACAATCTTCATTAGGTTCGGGACAACAAATTTCCTCCGGTCCTCCATTATCTGGGCAGCAAAATTTACTTCCAGTAGCTTCCATTCCGGGGCAACAGAATTTTCCCAATCCTATGGGAGGGCAACAAAAGAATCCCTTAACAACAGGAGAGAACAATCATTTTGGCTCGATGCCAGGCCAGAATAATGCAATTAGAAGTCCTCCATCATCGGGACAAGAAAGTCTACAAACTCCTGTGAGAGGTCCTCCAATGCCGGGTCAACAGAATTTCTCCAGTTCGTTGGGAGGACCTCAGATGCCAATGCCACAAAGTCTACAAACTGCCGTTGGAGGTCCTCCAATGCAACAGAATTCGTTGGGAGGAGGTCCGATGTTAGGGCAACAAAGTTTACAATCTCCAGTTGGAGGTCCACCGATGCCGGGCCAACAAAACACAATTAGAAGTCCTCAATTGTCGGGACAACAAAGTCTGCAATCTTCAGTTGGAGGTCCTCCAATGCCAGGGCAGCAGAATTTCTCCAATTCGTTGGGAGGACCACAGATGCCAATGCCACAAAGTCTACAAACTGCCGTTGGAGGTCCTCCAATGCAACAGAATTCGTTGGGAGGAGGTCCGATGTTAGGGCAACAAAGTTTACAACCTCCAGTTGGAGGTCCACCGATGCCGGGCCAACAAAACACAATTAGAAGTCCTCAATTGTCGGGTCAACATAGTCTGCAATCTTCAGTTGGAGGTCCTCCAATGCCAGGGCAGCAGAACTTCCCTAATCCGATGCTAGGACCCCAGATGCCAGGGCAACAAAGTTTACAACCACCAGTTGGAGGTCCTCCAATGCCCGGCCAACAGAATTTTCCTAATCCGATGCAAGGACCCCAGTTAACAAGACAAAATCCAATGGCAGGTCCTCCAATGCCAGGACAGCCTAATTTCCCCAATCCAATGGTAGGACCACAAACACCGGGACAAAATTTACCCGGACAAGGTTCGATGCCCTATCCAGGACAACTGCCAAGTATGCAACCCCATTTGACTGGTAATCAAGCTCCAGGAATGAATCAATATGGACAAAATTCGTACATGGGTCCACCTCTACCGGGTCAACCTCCAATGCCCGGAAATCCTGGTTATCAGCAAGGTTACCAAAACTCATACCAGGCAGGATATCAACAACAGCAAGCCAGAAGATTAGATCCCGACAATATGCCAAATCCCATTCAAGTAATCCAAGACGACAGAAACTCACGAACTGGTCCCTTTATCACCAATCAAAAAGGTCTGGTTCCACCTCTAGTGACCACTAAATTTACCGTTCAGGATCAGGGTAATGCATCGCCGCGATTAATACGCTCTACAATGTACACGGTGCCCACGACAACGGATATTATGAAACAAACAAGTGTTCCATTTGGTTTGATTCTAAGTCCAATGGCACGTGTCGAGGATGGCGAATATGAACCACCAATTGTCGATATGGGAGAAATTGGTCCAGTGCGTTGTATTCGTTGCAAGGCGTACATGAGTCCATTTATGCAATTCATTGATTCGGGTAGACGATTTCAATGTATGTTCTGTAAAGCAACTACTGAAGTACCAGCGGAATATTTTCAACATTTAGATCACACTGGTCAACGAATGGATAGATATGAACGTCCTGAATTGATGCTCGGTACTTATGAATTTATGGCAACAAAAGATTACTGTCCGGAGAATAAATTTCCCAATCCACCGGCAATGATATTTATCATTGATGTCACGTACAATACAATAAAATCGGGTTTAGTGAATTTAATTTGCGCGGAGATGAAGAATATTATACGTAATTTGCCAATTGATGCAGGACAAACGAGAACAAATATGAAAGTTGGATTTATTACCTACAATAATACGGTGCATTTTTATAATATTAAATCGTGTCTTGCACAACCGCAAATGATGGTTGTTGGCGATGTACAGGATGTTTTTATGCCATTATTGGAAGGTTTTCTATGTGATGCTGAAGAAAGTTTGGAAGTTATTAATAATCTAATGAGCCAAATACCAATGATGTTTGCCGATACACGTGAAACGGAGACAATACTCGCGCCAGCAATTCAGGCAGGATTGGAAGCATTAAAAGCATCGGAGTGTGCTGGTAAATTATTGGTATTTCATTCGTCTCTACCAATTGCTGAGGCTTTTGGTAAATTGAAAAATAGAGATGATAGAAATTTACTTGGAACTGAGAAGGAAAAAACAATTCTTACGCCGCAGAATAATGTTTATAATACACTTGGTCAGGATTGTGTTGCCGCTGGATGTTGTGTGGATCTTTTTATCGTTAATAATTCCTATATTGATATTGCAACAATTGGACAAGTTTGTCGTCTCACTGGTGGTGAGATTTATAAATATACTTATTTCCAAGCTGACATTGATGGCGAAAGATTAATTGCCGATGTTGTTAATAATATCAGTAGACCAATTGCCTTTAATTCTGTAATGCGAGTGAGAACATCCACTGGTGTTAGACCAACGGATTTTTATGGTCATTTCTACATGTCAAATACAACGGATGTTGAATTGGCGAGTATCGATTGTGATAAGGCGATTGCAATTGAAGTGAAACACGACGATAAACTTGCCGAGGAAGAGGGTGTCTATGTACAGGCAGCACTTCTTTATACTTCATGCGCTGGTGTCAGGAGATTAAGAATCATCAATCTCAGTCTTAGGACCTCGTCACAAATAGCCGAACTTTATCGATCCTGTGATTTGGACGCAATTATTAGTTTTTTCTCGAAAGAAAGTACGTAAATCGAAAAATTCTTTTGAAACTATTTTGGGTTTGGTTGTTGGCCTAAAGTAATTTTTTTTCTTTTGCAGGCGTTTTTAAATTATTAGAACATTCGCCAAAGGCAGTTAAGGAGAATCTTATTTCAAGATGTGCCAATATTTTAGCTGCTTATAGAAAAAATTGTGCAGCACCAAGTAGCGCTGGACAATTGATTCTTCCGGAATGCATGAAATTGCTACCACTCTATGTCAATTGTTTAATGAAAAGTCATGCAATATTTGGTGGTTAGTAATGGTTTCTTTATTAAAGTTTGTTCAAATTTTAATCATTACCAATCGAAAGAGCATAAAAAAATGTGTCAGAATCCATGAGTTTTATTTCAAATTTGATGTCGGAAAGATATGAAAAATCAAAATTTAATAAGCACCCGATAACGCGATCGTTAACATTTAAGAAAGGTTAAATTAATTTTGATTTTTCATATATATTTCCGACATCAAATTTGGAATAAAACTCATGGATTCTGACACATTTTTTTATGCTCTTTCGATTGGTAATGATTAAAATTTGAACAAACTTTAATAAAATTGGTTTTTTCTAACCGTTAAACAATTAACGTTACGTTCTTCAGCTCAATTTATTTTCATTATTTATTCAATTTCAGGTGCTGAAATATCAATTGATGATAAATCTTGTGAAATACAAGCGGTTTCTAAAATGCCCGTCCATACGTCAGTCAATTATTTTTATCCCCGAATGTTTGCTTTACATAATTTGAATCCACAGGAAACTGATTTACCACAAACGATAAGGTGTTCAATTGATAAAATAACTGACGATGGATGCTATTTATTAGGTAAATGTTTGGTGTAATTACTTATTATCTGACAGATTTATAGGTTATTCTCATCAACTACCGCACCCTGCTCTAGTGAAAATTTAGTTAATTAATTTCAACTAGTTACTAAATTTTCACTAGAGCAGGGTGCGGTAGTTGACGAGAATTATGACAAAATGGCGTCTTTGGACAAAAAATTGTCCGTGTGAAATTTTCTAATCTCAAAAAAATTACATAGAAAATGGAATTCACATGTTCCTGTGGCTTGGATTGGGACTCAATGCACAATGGGTTCAAGAAGTATTTCAAGTTCCGTCCGTTGTTCAAATTGATACGGAACGTTCGAAAATTCCAATTCTAGATAATCCGCTAAATAAGCGTGTTAATGAAATAATTGCCCGAATTAATGATGAACGACATCCACGCATGAGGGTAAGATATTTATTTTTTTTTTTCAGTACAAATAATGCGACGTTGCCACATTCACGTTTCTCTGCGCTCTGTGGAGAGCGTATCTTTTATCTCTGATAAAAATGTAATTTTTGTATTTTAAAAAATTACATAAATTTTTTTTTTGAAAATAAATTAATTAAATTTTAATTACAGTTGACAATGGTGAGACAGAGAGAAAAATTAGAAATGGTATTTCGACATTTTCTTGTTGAAGATAAAGGAACAGATGGTAGTGGAAGTTATGTTGATTTTCTCTGTCATATGCACAAAGAAATACGAGCAGTTCTTAGTTAATAAATTAAAAATATATATATTATGTATATTAAAATTTCCTGAGGAAAAAAAAAAATTAAATTGTTCTATATATATAGGTATAATAATAATTGAAAAGAGAAATATTAGCATTTATGTGAAAAAAAAGAAAATTTATTTTCAACTATAAAAATTCTTTGAATATTGAATAATATTTTATTTAGCCCTTAATAAATTTTTAACATATATATAATTATATATATAAAATTATATTCTATATAATATATAAATATATATTTATATATAAAAAAAATATATAAAATTAATATAATGTAAATACATTTTAAAAATATTTTTATTTCTTAATGAAATTTTTTTACTATAATTTAATTATAATTTACCTTATTTTTATCGATTAATTACAATCGATCATTTGATTGTAATAAAAATTATTATTTTTAAAAAATATAAAAAAATTTAACAGATATTGGCAATTATTATTATTATTATTATTACTTATTGTTATTTTTATTTTTATAATTTACTATTATTATTATTATTATTATTATTATTATTATTATTATTATTTTAGTCATCGTAAAACGAAAATTCTATTTTTGCTTACATTTATTGTTTTAATTTCAATTTTTTCGAATTATTTCCTATTTTTTATTTTTTTTTTACCTTTTTTTCATTTTTCTCTTTGTCGATTTAAAATTTTTTTTTTTTTTTCGTTTTTTTCGATGTAAAGAATTATTATATTTATTTATTTATATATTTTTCTTTTTCAATTATTGTTTTAACGTTTTTTTTTAATTTTTCTTTTAGCTCAACAATAAAAAGTTTTACACACCCTTAAGAATAAGAAATTCTAATTTTAGAAAATTCAAAAAAAAATGTTTTTTTCAAAAATATTTTTATATATAAACAAAAATGTCTATTTAACATTTTATAAATATATTTTTTAAAAAACCCTAAAATTGTTTTAAATATTCATGAAATTATTTTCTTATTATATTTTTTTTTGTTTTATATTACATTTTTTTCAAATTCAAATTTTTGAATTTTTCACCTTTTTCCCGCGTCGTGTTTGACTTTTGCGCAAAAGCACAAAGAAATTGTCGAACATAACCTTAAAAAAAAATTTTTTTTCTATGACGTGTGATGTGCAATGACATCAGTTGATTGACAAATTCTCAACAAAAACATTTCACAATTTTTGCCGGGCAGAAAAAATAATCTCAATTCTATATAGTTAAAATCGATAGTGAATCACAAAAAATAATTTCTATCGCGAAGAAGAACAATAAAAATGTCAAGAATCGTTTTCAAAGTAAAAAAATCATCGAGTTTGTAAATTCGCAAAATTTGTTTCTTAAATAATTACAACTTTAATTTGTTGATTTACAATATTATTGTTTTACAAAAATTAAATTCTAATTTTTACGTTTAATTGAAACTTAAAAAATGGAGTGAAAAATTAAAAAGTGATAAAAAAATTTTCTTACCTAAAAAATTTCCAAGACTCAAAAAAAATATGTATCGAACTAATTTTCTATTAAAATAATATATATAGATAAGAATGTTAATTATCTTTTGTTCGGTAAAGAAAAAAAAAAAATTACAATCGCAAGTTTAGTGTCATCAGAAAAAATAGGTGCGGACGATAATTTTGCGCGAGAAAATAAAAAATGACAAACATGGGATGAATCATGATAAGTATATATAGTATATATATATATATAGTGGTTTAATTAATTAATCAAATGCATATCCCGGGGTCAAAAATTCAAATTGCTCGCGATTCAGTTACAAAATTCCTTATGACTACTAAACATAACCTCGTCGCAGCAATAATTGAGCATCAAAAGATGCTTCCACCTGTTATTATTGGATTAATTGTCATTGTTTCGTTTCTATTAATATTTTTAAATAATCTATTATGGATATTGTCATATGGTGTTTTAACAATAACGTGTTTATTATTGGGACCATTGATTGTTATTATGGTTCATATTGCCCTATCACCAAAACATGAAACCGGACGTAATACAAATAAAACAATTGCTGAACTTGATGCATTTCGTAATATGCTCATGGTAAGTGGAAAAAACAAAAATTATTATTTTTTTCTCACAATTTTGTGTAAAATTACAAAAAAAAAAAAAAAAAATATATAACAGATGGTAAATTTTTGATTTTGCGTGTTGTATACTATATACATATATATATGTATATGTTTGTATTGATTAAAAAGAAAAAGAGCTCCATCTTTGACAGATTAAATTTCTATTTATATCATTCGCGATTTACTCTATCAATAATTCAATTCTCTGACCTGTTGATATTTTATAAGTGACAAATTTTATGTCAATTTTTGATTCGATTTTTCTTTTTTTTTAAGAGAGAGAGAGAGAGAGAGAAAAATTAAAATGAGAATTTTATTTGAATTTAGTTAGAATTTACTTTTAGCCGAATTTTTATTTATTTGTTTTTTGAGTTTAGAAAAATTTCACAATTTAATCGGAATTTTTGTGGAGAATTGTTAATTAAACGAATTTAAATTTTATCGAATTTTTTGAATTTATTATTTACTCGAATTTTTTTTTTTTTTTTATTTTATCCGAAAAAATATTGAAAAGAATTTTTTTTATTTTACTGAACTTTTTTATTGAGCATAGAAAAATTTGTGGAATTTTAAAAATTAACAAAAAATTTTAATTAATTAATTAAATTTCGTTGATAAATTTTTATTTGTTAATTTTAAAATTAGAATCACAATTTTTTGTGCCAGAATATTTTTTTTATTTGGCTTAAGAAAAAGTTAAGTAAAATAAAAATTTGACGAAATTGTTTTAAGAGGTAAATTCAAAGAAATTAAAATTCGTCTACTTTTTATATTTTATTTTAATTTTTATTATTTTCCAAATTAATTAATATTCTATTAATAATAATAATTAATTAATATTCTTTAATTAATTGTAAGATAATCGTGTATATATGGTAATTTTTTTCTATAAATTAAAATTTTATCACTCGGTTATATTTTAAATAATAATTAACAAAAAAAAAAACAATTAATTTTGTTAACAATTAGTTAATTAATTAAAAAATATTTTTATTTTAATACAATTAAATAAAAAAAACTATTTTAATATTAATAAAAGTAATAAAAAAAATTTGTATATTAATAAAATTAATAAAAAATTATTTTAATATTATTAAAATTAATAAAAAATATTTTAATATTAAAATTTAAAAAAATATATTTAAACATTTTGTTTAAATTTTAATTGAAATTTTTTATTTCTTCTTTTTTTTTGAGAGAGAAAAAAAAATTAAATTTATGAGTATTTTATTTGAATTTAGTTAGAATTTACTTTTAGCCGAATTTTTATTTTTTTTGTTTTTTGAGTTTAGAAATTTTTTTTTAGAGAATTGTTAATTAAACAAATTTATATTTTATCGAGAATTTTTTGAATTTATTATTTACTCGAATTATTTTTTTTTTTATTTTATCCGAAAAAATATTGAAAAGAATTTTTTTTATTTTACTGAACTTTTTTATTGGGCATAAAAAGTCACAATTTTTTGTGCCAGAATATTTTTTTTTTATTTGGCTCAAGAAAAAGTTAGGTAAAATAAAAATTTGACGAAATTTTTTTAAAAAAGTAAATTCGAAGAAATTAAAATTCGTCTACTTTTTATATTTTATTTTAATTTTTATTATTTTCCAAATTAATTAATATTCTATTATTATTAATAATAATAATAATAATAATAATAATTAATTAATATTCTATTAATAATAATAATTAATTAGTATTCGATTAATAATAATAATAATTAATTAATATTCTATTAATTAATTGTACGATAATCGTGTATATTTGGTAATTTTTTTCTATAAATTAAAATTTTATCACTCGGTTATATTTTAAATAATAATTAACAAAAAAAAACAATTAATTTTGTTAATAATTAGTTAATTAATTAAAAAAACTATTTTAATATTAATAAAAGTAATAAAAAAAATTTGTATGTTAATAAAATGAATAAAAAATTATTTTAATATTATTAAAATTAATAAAAAATTATTTTAATATTAATAAAATTAATAAAAAATTATTTTAATATTATTAAAATTAATAAAAAATTATTTTAATATTATTAAAATTTGAAAAAACATATTTAAACATTTTGTTTAAATTTTAATTGAAATATTTTATTTGTTCTTTTTTTTTGCAGAAAAATTATGAGCCAAAATCAATGTGTAATAAAAAACAACTTCGATATCCCCTTGTATTCACACGATTGGTGGATGGTGCTTTGCAAAATCTTTTGGATTTGGCATTTCGTGATTTTGTCGGTGCATGGCTTAATGATTTGTCCTTTGAATCGGAACAATTGATCGATAGTATGAAACAGGATGTTTGGGGTGCAATACAAAGTCTTCATGAGAGATTGGCACACATTGATTCAACAAAATTGGTCGCTTGCAGCGTTGTCAATAGAGTGACATTTCATTTTGAAAAAATTCGAATTGCCCAGGCAGCTGTGTAAGTTGAAATTAATTTTGTTTAATTTGGTGTTTTTTTTTTTTTTTAATTTTTTTTATTTAATTTAATTTCTTAAAAAATTATTAATTTGAAAATTAATTTTAGAAGAAAAAAAAAACTATTGGGAAAGAAAAAATTGTAAAACTTTGTAAAAAGTATACACAATGGAGAAATAAAATCTATCTATCTAATTGAAAATTAATTTATTTTTGATATAAATAATTGAATTAAAAAAATCTATTAATTATCTTGTAATGAAACTAATTCTCTAATTTTAATTAATTAATAATAATTTAATTAATTTCTTTTTTGGTTTTTATTAAATTAATTCAATTGTTTTTGTAATTTTAAAGAAATTTCTGGATTTTTAATTAATTTAATAATTATAATAATAACAATAATAATAATAATAATAATAATAATAAATTTTCCGTGTGTATTTTAATTAATTTTTTTGGTAATTGTATTAATTAGTTACCAAATAATTTAATTAATTTCGTAATAATTCAATTAATTTTCTTGCAATTTTATTATTTTTCTAGCAATTAAAAATATTAATTAAATTAATTTAGTAATAATTCAATTAATTTTCAATTAATTTTCTTTTAATTGAATTAGTCAATATTATTAATTCAATTAATTTATTGTACTAATTTTTTTGTTGGATTTTCTTTTTTATTGAATTATTAAAAAAACAAACAATTTCTTATTGTGTTATTTCGTTAATTATTTATTTTTTTTAAAAAAACTATGTAATAGTTAATTATGTAAATTAGTCATGCTTTGAGTAAAAAATTAATTACCTATTACAGATCGGAGGGATTAGATCCTGTTTTTATTTTATCGCCCCATCTAATGTCCCGTGAAGCAGAATTGGAATATTTAAGAAAAGTCAGCGAACTTTGTATTATGCTTTTCCTACCCGGAAGTTATTCTTTAACGCCAACAAAATTTTTATTACGTGAAATTGTCACTTGTAAAAGTAAGTATAGACGATAAACTTAAATTTTATTTATCTTTAGATATTGAATTTTATTTATATTTTATTTAAGTAAAAAAAAAAAAAAAAAATTGAAAACGATAGCGAAAAATTATCACATTATAAAATAAATTCTTACATATTTGTTTTTTTAATTTAATTTAATTATTACGTAAATAATAAAGTTATACCTAATTTTTTTTGTCAATTTAATAAATGAAAGAAAAATAATAAAAATATGAATTATTAATTATTAATTATCAATTATCAATTAATAATTTGTAATATTTGTTTAGTTTTTAAACTAATTTATTTTTCTAAGCCGATTAGACTTGTTTCGAATAATTAAATTAGTAAACGGTGAAATTAATTTTTGTTTTTCTGTTTTTAATAGTTTTAAAACCGGCAATCGATTTGGTAACGGATCCAGATTATATAAATCAAAAAATTCTCTCCTACATTGAACAACAACAAATGACAGAGGCAATGCATAGAAAAACATACGAGTACGCTGAATCGTTTGAGGATTTTATTCAAATGATTAAAAGTTCACGTGATCTTGAAGTACTTAAACATATCAGATATAATATTGTTACGGAAATAATGCAAGCAACGACAATTCAAAATGTTAAAAGAGCACAGGGATTAGATCCCGAGAGTAATTCATTGGGAAAATCAGATGCAATTCAAGCGAGAAAATTAAAACGTTACATTAGTCAATTGACGTATGCAAAAAATACATGCGAATGCCATATGCAATCACTTGGATGGGATGGTTTTTTAATTCAGGTATTTTTTTCTCTTATTTGGAAAAAATTTATTTTTTTTATTTATATTAATATTTAAATTTAATTTCAAAAACAGGAAAATGATTTATCCGATCCAAGTGCAATTGGAGAAGGACGAATATTACCATTGCCGTATATTTTAGAAAATGTTATTGGCCGAAGACATTTGTCACAATTTTTAGAACAAGTATCAAGTCAAGGTTTAATTGGCTATTGGGCAGCGGTTCAAGAATTACGCGCGGCAAAAAAATCCAATTGGCATCAATTGGGAGCGGAAATTTTTTACACCTACATTAAATCGCCAACGGCCGAAATGAAAGTTGATAAAAATATGCGTAAACGAATGGAGAGCTTTTTGATGGGCGACAATGGACCACATGCATTTTATGAAGTACAAGACAGTGTTGTTAAAACATTAAAGGACAAATATTATCCGTCATTTATTGTTAGTGAGCAATATAAAAAAATGCAGGAGGCACTTATTAATGAGAGAGTCGACGGTGAGAATATTTTTTTTTTATTTATTTAATATATTTATTAATGATGGAAAAAAAAATAAATTTTTTTTTGCAGGACTCGTTGAGGATCGTCAAATTGATGGGACAATAAACGATACGTCACTATTGGTTGGCGAGCATTCAAATTATGCACGCAGTAAATTAGATCAATTACAGGAGAAATTAAATAATAAAATGCAAGCCCTACAGGCGTTGCGATCATCATTAAAACCAGAGAGTCGAGTACTTAGTATTTTAGCAAAGGAAGTGGAATATCTTCAGGGTGAGAAACGACAATTGGAAGCGCATTTAACACACACGGAAATGTGGGCCGAACATTTGGGACATTGGAGAGCTGATGTACAAAGTGCAGAGGTAAATTTTTTCTTTCTAAACAAATAGAATTCAAAAATTATTAAGAACTAGCAATATTAAACGCGCGCAAGCGCGCCAAATTGAGTATTTAATTGTTTGTTATAAAGAAATTAAAGATTAATATTATCAATAATAATTTAAATTTATTAGAATATTATTTCATATTAAATGATAATAATGAAAATTATTATTATATGTTATTAAATTATATATAAAATTGAATTATTTTCCAAAATTTTTCAATTTAAAATTCCATTATTTACCAAGTTTTCAATTTAAAATTAAATAAAATTCAAATATTACCCGAAATTTTAATTCAACATCAACTTAAATTAAATTATTATCCAAAATTTCAATTAAAATTCAATTATTTTCCAAAATTTCGAGTCAAAATTAATTATTATCAAAATTTTCAATCAACAATCAACTAAAATTAATTATTATCCAAAATTTCAATCAACTAAGATTAAATTATTTTCAAAATTTTCAATTTAAAATTCAATTATTTATCAAGTTTTCAATTTAAAATGAAATAAATAAATTCAATTATTTTTTAAAATTTTTATTCAAAATTAATTATCGAAATTTTCAATTAAAAATGAACTTAAATTAAATTATTATCGAAAATTTCAATTAAAATTCAATTATTACCCGAAATTTTAATCCAAAATCAACTTAAATTAAATTATTATCCAAAATTTCAATTAAAATTTTATTATTTTCCAAAATTTCGAGTCAAAATTAATTATTATCAAAATTTTCAATCAGCAATCAACTAAAATTAATTATTTTCAAATTTTCAATCAACAATCAACTAAAATTAAATTATTTTCAAATTTTCAATTTAAAATTCAATTATTTACCAAGTTTTCAATTTAAAATGAAATAAAATTCAATTATTTTTTAAAATTTCGATTCAAAATTAATTATCGAAACCATTGCCAAAAAAACATTGAAAAATTTTAACCAACACAAAATAATGTCAAACAATACATTTAAAAAAAACAAAAGACCTGTAACAAATACTAACTTCAGGTGTGGACAGAATGAACGAAAGATATTCACGATTATTATATGTAATTTAAAAAAAAAAAAATAAATAAATTTTAATTAGATACTATGCGCAAAAATTAATTTTTTTTGAAACATTAAATTAAATTAAAAAAGGAGAAAATTTCTGATAGTAATATGAAATTTTTTCCTTTTTGTAATTTAATTTTTTTTTTTGTAAATGAATTTTGAAAATTAAAATAAATTAAATTTTTTTTTGTAAATGAATTTTGAAAATTAAAATAAATTAAATTTTTTTTTGTAAATGAATTTTGAAAATTAAAATAAATTAAATTTTTTTTTTATTAAATAGGTGCCGGATAATGGTGATCCACCGCAATTTATTCTCGTTGTACATATGGCAGCCGATGAGGAGAGTGAGGAAAAAATATCAACTGGCTGGGTTGTATTGAGAAAACTAACAGAATTTCAAGAGCTTCATAGAAAATTACGTCAGTTATGTTCGAGTGTTAAAAATCTCGAACTACCATCGCAGCCATTAAAATTTTTTGGTAAATCAGATAAAAATACAATTGATAAGGCGAGAGTGCAAATACAAAAATATTTAAATGTAAGTATTTTTCTATTATTAATTTTTTAAAAATTAATTCTTCTGTTATTTACTAAAAAATATTAAACTTTGAATTTTTTTTCACTTTATTTTTTGTGCTTGAAAAATAAAATTTTCAGTTTCGTTTTTAATTTATTTTTTTTTTTTGAAACTAATTTTTTTTTTCTGTAAAATAAAATGTTTCCAGTTTGTACTTGAGGACGACAGATTAAATCAAAGTGAGGCACTTTATGCATTTTTGAGTCCAAGTTCGGAGCATTTGAAACACACGGCACCTTCACCGAAAAAATCGCGTTTCTTTCTTTCAACTCTTTTCAAAAGGTAGCCAATAATAATCATATTATTAAATTTTTTTTGAAAAGAAATATATATAAAATATTTATTTTCTTCATTTAATATTGAAGTAAATAAGTAAATAAAAATTTAATAAATAAAATAAATATTTGTATTAAATTTTTTTAATATTAAATTATAAAAAGGGATAAAAAAGAATTTGAAATTATTATTTAAAGAAAATTAATTATAATAAAATAGAGTAAAATAAAGAAATAAAATGAATGAAAAATAAATATTTTTGTATAGGAATCTATCAATTTTTTCGATTTAGGTAACAAAAAATACAATTTTTAATGTTTTAACAGACACAATTGATAAAATTTTAAATATTTTTATAAATTGAAAAAAAATTAATGATAATTGTTTAGTTTTCTTAAATTAATGCTAATTGGTAAATTTATTTATTCAATTTTCAAATGTTTTAATTTTGTTCTGTTAATTTATTTTTGTTTTTTTTTAAATAAAGCAGTAGTGGTTCGAGTGGAAGTGGCGATTCGAGGGAAAAAGAAGACGAGGAGGATTATTCATTTCTCTTGGACGATAATGAGCCAGGAAGAACAGTTACCGATAGTTTTCTTGGTCCAGGAAAAGATGCGATAGTTGAACCACTTTATTCACTTCTTGGAGAAGTTTTCGATCTTAAGGGAGTTTTTCGCTGGCTCAGGCGATCTCTCATTACTTTTGTCCAAATCACATACGGAAGAACGATAAATAGGTAAAATTTTTTTTTTAATTAATTAATTATTTATTTATCTTTTCTTTCAACTTCTATTTCTATATTTTAATATTTATTTTATTCATGTAAAAATTCATAGTAAAATTCAAGTATTTTATTCAATTATTAAGTAATTTAATTTAATTATTTATTATTTTGATTAGAAATTATTTTTCTAAAAAGAAAAGAAAGAAAATAATTTTTTTTTTTACAAAGGCAAGTACGTGATACGGTAACGTGGCTACTTTGTGAACCAATGTTGCATTATTATATAACATTGTTTACAAAATCATGGTGGCCAAATGGTCAACTTGTCTCGGAGACAATTGTTAGAACTGATGAGGAAAAATTAATGACACGAGGCGAGGCACGAAGGCAATTTTTAAATAATGTACCTGATGTTTTAACGAATTTAGTTGGCGCTCAAAATTCACAGCGTGGCGCTATTAAAGTTTTTGACACTTTGCAAAATGTCAATCTCAATAAGCAACTATTTTACGTGAGTTGAATTTCTTTTTTTTAAAAATTATTTTTAATTTTCAGCATAATTAAAAATTAAATATTTTAATTTAATTAAATTAGAATTTATTACAAATTATTTGGTTCAATAATAGTAAAAAGAATAGAATTTTTGTATAATTAAAAATTAATTTTTTAATTGAATTAAATTATTAAAAAATTATTTCAGTAAAAAAATAATTTTTTTTCTTTTAGGATATATTTGAAGTATTAATGTACGAAGTGTTTCCAGAGCTACAAAAAAATCGTGGTTTCAATACATTTAAATTTCATGATGATTGAACAATTATCATTATTATAATTATTATTATTATTGAGGAGGTCCTTTTTTTTCCCGACTGAGATATATATACATCTATAAATAATTTAATGAGCAGCTTTCGCAGATTCAGTATTTCTCGAATCAGTATATGGACCAATGTGTTTCTCAATTTTTCAAATTCAAAGAAAGGATCGAGCGTTTTTACTGTGACAATATACAAACATATATTATATACAAAAAAAAAAAAGAAATATCAATTTGAATGAGAAGTGTATTTTTCAAAATGGAATTCTCTCGATGCAAAACCAAAAACAAAAAAAAAGGAGAAGCTCGACAATATAGGTAAGAATTTTTTTTTTCTCAGCCAAAAAAAAAAAGAAAAAAAAACAAAAACTGTTAAAATTAGTGTAAATTTAACTTTTAATGTGATCGACGTAGAAAATTATTCTCTCTAGAAAAAAAAAAAAAAATTGAGAGAAAAAGAAAATGAATGAGTGTTGAAAGAAAGAGAGAAAGATATTAGGGCATTTTAGAGAAAACAAATTTTAGATTATTAACATGAAAGTCGATAAATTATTTTCTATAGAATATTTTTAAAAAACATTTTCTTTTAATTTTCGTGAATTAAAAAAATTAATTTTCTTTTAATTTTTGTAAATTAACAAAATTAATTTTCTTTTAATTTTCGTAAATTAAAAAATTTAATTTTCTTTTAATTTTCGTAAAAATTAAAAAAATTAATTTTCTTTTAATTTTCGTAAATTAAAAAAATTAATTTTTTTTTAATTTTCGTAAAAATTAAAAAAATTAATTTTCTTTTAATTTTCGTAAATTAAAAAAATTCATTTTCTTTAAACTTTGAAAAAAAAATCAATTTTTTCTTTAAACTCTTGAAAAAATGTTTTAAAAAAAATTAATTTCCTTCTGGAAAATAAATAATTAATTTTTTTCTTTTTGTAAAATTAAAATAAACTTTTTTAAACTCGGTGCTAATTACCAAAGACAATTCCGAGTTTTTTCGGAAATAAAATTTTTTTCCAATTTTTTTTTTCTTCTTTTTGCTCATTTTATTGAAAAACACTGATGCATTTTTATCAATGAATTTGTAAATATTATTATTATTATTTTAATATTGAATTTTATGAATGAAATAATTGTCTTCAGTTTACTGTGAATAGTAAATTAATAATAATTAGTAAAAATTTAATATAAGGTGCAGGATTAAATCTGATGATTTCATCTGTGTTTACACACTTTAAAAAAATAGACTCGTTAGAATTAGGACTTGCCAAGAGCCCTCTATATAGATTTCTATTTTTTTCCTCTGTAATTTGAAAAGAAAAATTTCCATTTCCATTAAAAGAAAAAAAAACAAAGATTATTAAAATTCATTAGCAAGGGAATTTTTGCCAAAAATTAATATTTTTAAAAAAATTGTAACTTCGTGAAAAAAAGTGCTTTTTATTTTTAACTTTTATTTTGTTTTTTATTTATTAAATTTTTGTATTTTATTATTAAATTTTTATTCTATTTTTTTTTATTTTATTAAAGTTTTTTTTTTATTTCTGTATTTTTAAAAAAAAAACTTTTTGTTCTAGTTTTATATTTTATTATATTGAACTTTTAAAATTTCATTTTTGTTTTCTATTATTGAAATTTTATTTTTATATTTTATTTTTATAAAATTTTTATTCGAAAAAAAAAATTTCTTGATTACAATATTAAAAATAAAAATGTTTAATTTTTTTTCTATCTTTATTTACTAAAATCAAATTTTTGGCAAAAATTGGAGCAAATGAAAATCAAATAAAAAAAAAGATTTATTACTGTTATTAGATTTCTAGTTTTTGATTCTCTGTTGATTTAGAGAAATTTCTATATATAATAGAATTTATTTAAATTCACTTTTTTGCACCTGCAAAGAAATTTTTTTTTTATTCTTTTCCTTCTACATCGTTTTCTATTATGTACAAAAAAAAAAAAAAAAAAACAAACACTCGTCATTAAGGGCAGATTAATGGCAACACATCAAACTCTGTGTTCGATCTATGGAAATTGAATTTTTGTCGAAATTAATCTGTGTACGTGGTGATATTTTTCCGAGATATAAAAAAAAAATAAAATAAAATAAATAAAAATAAAATTAAAATAATTAAAAAAAAAAAAAAATAGGTAATATTGAAGAGCGAGAGATATCTGTTGGCTATTGATAAGTTTTTAGTTAAAAGTCTATATCTATAGTTTTATTTTTTAACAACAAAAATATCTCCAGAGAGAAAGAGAGAAAGAGAGAAAGAGAGAAAGAGAGAAAGAGAGAGAGAGAGAGCATTTTGTCGATGAGTACCAATCCTGTTATATTCTTACAATTATTTCTTTTTTTAAATATATTATTCAAATTTCTATACAAAAATAATTCCGATTTCTATGAAATAAAAATGAAATTTTATAATTCGTTTTTTGAATAAGTGCCAAATTTTTCGACATTGAATAAAAAAAAAAGAAAGAAAGAAAGAAAGAAAAAAATAAAAAAGAAAATGCTTAATTGTTAATAAAAAAAAAAAAAAAATGGAGCAGGAAGGTATGATTCTTCAGAATGTATTTATTGTGCAATGTAATTGCATTTGTGCACAAAATATAAAAATATATTGTACTATTGGCTCTGTCAATATTACTTCGAACTGAAAAAAAATAAAATAAATGTACGTCAGCCTAATAAAAATTGTGTTCTGTTTTCTCTTTCTATTTTTCGTGATTTAATTCGTTTAAAAAAAAAAAGTGGATTTTTTAATTACGTTGAAAAATTCACGAAATCTAATAAAAAATTTAATTATAATACAAAATTAATTTTAACATTTTTTTAATTAATTAATTTTCTATTATAACATAAAAAATCGTATTTTTTGTACTTTTGATTTTTTTTTTTTTTTAGAAAAAATAACAAAATTTGTTTTTAAATGGGTTTAGGAAAAATTAAATAACAATTTTTTTTTATTTAAAAGTTGTTTATTTTTAAAAACTAGGTACCAATGAAAATGCCAAATAAATGTTTTAAAAATTAATGAAAATAAAAATTAACAATAATAAAATTTTTTGATTTTTGATTTTTCAACTTTCATTAATTCTTTAAATTTAAATTAAAACTATACTTTATATATACCGATCGATTTGTCTTGATGTAAGGAATACGATTCTATTATATATAACCATAAATTTTTCTATTTATAACTTTTTTCGATTAAAAAAAATTTTTAGAAAAAAGACAATAAAATTTTTTTTTTGGGTATTTTTTAAAATCCTTTGGTCAGATTTGAGATATAAATATGATAAATGAGCCTACCAAATTTTATCTAAATCCATTAAAACCTGTTAAATTTATCTTCTAAACAAAAAAGGGATCCACACACATACATACATCCGGACAATTGATCAGGATCTCATATAACATGTTTCTATTAAGAGAAAAATTTGTTTCCGACACTTTGAAAATTTTTATAAACGAAAGTACTACAAAACTTCCTCCACTAGGAAGCAAAAAATCGAAAAAAAATTTATTATTCTTATTCTCTTGCAATTTAGGTTTAATTGGTAGAATATTTTTTAGAGGTAATATGATTTGTTTGAAGGTAAAAAAATAATAGAGACATGATGTTTAATTTTATTTGACTATGTAAGAGATTTTTTCATTTTCCAGGAAAACATTCTATCCACAGTACAAGTAGTAGTACAAGTAAAAATTTAGTTGGACGGGTTTGCAATTTTGTTAGTAATACAAGTAAATATTTAGTCAGACATTCTTGATTTGACCTTCAAACGACCTTGAATGACCTTGACTTGACCTTCAAATGACCTTGAATGACCTTGACTTGACCTTCAAATGACCTTGAACGACATTGACTTGACCTTGAGTCATGCTTTTTCAGTAGTATTACTCAGCAGTGGTACAATTTTTCCAGTAGTATTTCTCAGCAGTAGAACAATTTTCTCAGTAGTATTACTCAGCAGTAGTACAATTTTATCAGTAGTATTACTCAGCAGTAGAACAATTTTCTCAGTAGTATTACTCAGCAGTAGTACAATTTTATCAGTAGTATTACTCAGCAGTAGTACAATTTTATCAGTAGTATTACTCAGCAGTAGAACAATTTTCTCAGTAGTTTTACTCAGCAGTAGAACAATTTTTTCAGTAGTATTTCTCAGCAGTAGTACAATTTTCTCAGTAGTATTACTCATCAGGAGAACAATTTTCTCAGTAGTACTACTCAGCAGTAGAACAATTTTCTCAGTAGTTTTACTCAGCAGTAGAACAATTTTTTCAGTAGTATTTCTCAGCAGTAGTACAATTTTCTCAGTAGTATTACTCATCAGGAGAACAATTTTCTCAGTAGTATTACTCAGCAGTAGAACAATTTTCTCAGTAGAATTATTAGGCAGTAGTACAAGTAAAAATTGAGTTGGACGGGTTTGCAATTTTGTTAGTAATACAAGTAAATATTTAGTCAGACATTCTTGATTTGACCTTCAAACGACCTTGAATGACCTTGAATGACCTTGACTTGACCTTCAAATGACCTTGAATGACCTTGAACGACCTTGACTTGACCTTGAGTCATGCTTTTTCAGTAGTATTACTCAGCAGTAGTACAATTTTATCAGTAGTATTACTCAGCAGTAGTACAATTTTATCAGTAGTATTACTCAGCAGTAGAACAATTTTCTCAGTAGTTATACTCAGCAGTAGAACAATTTTTTCAGTAGTATTTCTCAGCAGTAGTACAATTTTCTCAGTAGTATTACTCATCAGGAGAACAATTTTCTCAGTAGTATTACTCATCAGGAGAACAATTTTCTCAGTAGTACTACTCAGCAGTAGAACAATTTTCTCAGTAGTTTTACTCAGCAGTAGAACAATTTTTTCAGTAGTATTTCTCAGCAGTAGTACAATTTTCTCAGTAGTATTACTCAGCAGTAGAACAATTTTCTCAGTAGAATTATTAGGCAGTAGTACAAGTAAAAATTGAGTTGGACGGGTTTGCAATTTTGTTAGTAATACAAGTAAATATTTAGTCAGACATTCTTGATTTGACCTTCAAACGACCTTGAATGACCTTGAATGACCTTGACTTGACCTTCAAATGACCTTGAATGACCTTGACTTGACCTTCAAATGACCTTGAACGACCTTGACTTGACCTTGAGTCATGCTTTTTCAGTAGTATTACTCAGCAGTAGTACAATTTTTCCAGTAGTATTTCTCAGCAGTAGTACAATTTTATCAGTAGTATTACTCAGCAGTAGAATAATTTTCTCAGTAGTATTACTCAGCAGTAGTACAATTTTCTCATCCGTAGAATAATTTTCTCAGTAGTATTAATCAGCAGTAGTACAATTTTTCC